GACCAGAAACTGGCGCACAGAGCTGGGATCGAACCCGCACCTCTCTGCTTCAATCCTGGTATTCTGAACTGTAACCACTGGGCCACCCTGCCCAGTGTTTTCTTTATGACTTTTTTTTTTAAATTGATATAAATGCATAGCATCTTCGAAAGGTCATTAATCTAAGTTTACTTGTGGTAGCTAAGTCCAAAAGCCTCACTCCGACTACTAGTTCAAAATCCAAATCATAAAACGCTCTTTACGGATATCCGTCAAGCCCACACAAGACGCAGCACTTGAATCGAAGGAACGATAAATCTTCTATTAACAGTCAAAAGACACAATACCATTATTGACAAACTCACGTAGTAGTAGTAAAATAAATTGCTAGCGCTTCAGCTATCAAGCTATTTCGCACCGGAAGTCAAAATGTAGTAGCATCGCCAGCGAGGCGGAAGGTCTCAGTTATTCAACATCTCAAATTAATCATCACCCACAAGGGGCGGAAGGTTTCAATTGTCCAGCCCGCTGAAGCTGGCTCGAAAGAAACAGCGTTAGCATCTCAAAGAGACGAAGTGACAAGGAGGGACAGGTGAAAAGCAAGAGAAACTAAGACACTCGAACAAGAGGTAGCTTACACGGGACGTCGGCCGCCCGCACGAGAGAGACAGAGAAGCAGAGCTGGGCAGCGCTACTTTGAAATGTAGCGCCGCTACCGCTACCGCTACATGCTCTAAATGTAGCGGGCGCTACCGCTACCGCTACATCCACTAGATTGTAACGGGCGCTACCGCTACCGCTACAGTAAAATGTAGCGCGCTACATTAGCCGCTACAATGGCCAAAATTATTAGAAATCTATTAATATTTATTGTTCTGCTATTGGGATTTACTCATTAACATTTAATGATAATAAAACATTTTTAAAACATATCAATGCAACTTTATTGCAATTAACCTAACCGAACTAGTATGGGTTAGATACAGTAAATAAAAGTTAGTTATTTTTATGTTTTACCTTCCCTACATGGATGTGAACTTTAATCTACCAATCTAAGAAATTATCCACATATACATATAAAAATCAGTCTTTTTAGTTTATATATAGGTATATGGATTATTTTTGAGATTGGTAGATTAAAGTAGACATCCATGTAGGGAAGGTGAAACATAAAAATAACTGTGTAAAAATAACTGTAAGCAAACTGAAAGATGAAAAAAACCTGTAAGGGGTAACTGGTAACAACTTAACAGGTAACAACTAAACTAAAGGCTTTATCTATAAATGTAGCGGTAGCGCTGTAGCGGCAAAACCTCGTATCGCTACTTAAATATGTAGCGGGCGCTACCGCTACCGCTACATTGCCTTAAATGTAGAGCCGCTACCGCTACCGCTACTGAAATTGTAGCGGCCGCTAGTAGCGGCCGCTACATGTAGCGCGCTACTGCCCACCTCTGCAGAGAAGGGAGATGCAAGGAATCCTACCTACATAATAACTTAACCCCACAACCGAGAACTGATGTCAGACACCGCGAGCTCAGCGCTCAGAAACAATCCCCCTGGGAGCGCGAAATCCCATAGAACTTCTGATGAGCACAGACACGCGTCAGAAGTCCCCCCTGAGGGAGACAAACTCACGTAGGAAAACTAAAGCAGAGGTGTGAAAATGGCACTGGCAACATGGTTCGGGTAAGTTAATTAAAAAAATATAACTCAGTACTCACTGCAATGAGTGACAGAGAGAGCATTTTCTCGTCGACGAAAACTTGAGGTCACGGACAGACAGACGGACATGGCGAGCACAATAGTGCATTTTTTTCATAAATAAGAAAATTCGCTAAAAAGTAAACCCGTATCGATGTTTATCCATGGAGAGTCGATTAATTTTTCTGCATAGGAGAGAAGGTTAGGCTAAAGCTATTAAAAACCACCCTGAGATACAAATAAACATCGTCAGTAAGGCGGAAGGTCTCAACTATTGAAAATTTCTCAAATTGTTCATCATCCACAAGGGGCGGTTGGTCTCAGGTGTCCAGCCCAATGAAGCTGGCAAGAATTAGCTTCTCAAAGACAAGGAGTGACAGGAGAAAAGCAACAGCAACGAAAATCCTATACACGACTACACGAGGTTGCTCACTCGAATCGCACAAGAAGAGCCGATTGGCATAAATTACAATTTTACTCGCACAACAGAGACCGCGAGCTCTGTGGTGGAGCGCTCAGGAGCAATGCCATAGGAACGCAAAATCCCATAGGATATCTGACGAGCTCAGGTAAAAACGACTATTTACATCAGTATAAACTCGATAGTTTTGTTGGCGTTATTATTTCCCAGGTATAAATTAAAGAAAAGAGCGGCTAGTGAAGTCTCATGAGGGTTTCATGACCGTACATACGTCTGATGAGCTCAAGTCAGATCTAGTGTAATATAAAGGCCGTAATACAGGAAGGAAACTTCGAAATTATTTAAGGCATATTTATTAGAAACTTTTCCATTAAGCTCAGAACATCGAAAATTTTAATATAGAAAAACACAGCGGAAAATTATAAATTAATGAGAAGCTGTACAATCAAACAATTTTATCACATCTCCTAGTGAACACCGTCATTCACGTTCCCGTTATCGACCCTCCTTTGAAGCTAGTAAACGCAATTGTGATTGGGCCAGCATCACCATTAAGCAGCTTGCATATTTCATCATTTTTATGTCGGTGACATAATAAATGGAAGAAAAATTATCAGACCTTGCGAATGCACTACAAAAAAAGAAGAAATTGCCTCCGTTCAAACGCCGGCAAGGGAAACATACAAGAAGTTTTACTGAATTAAATAATGTCCTCAGAGCGCACTTAAGCACTTAAGCCCGTGGATTTATCCATCGCTAACAAAACAACTTGAACAAATGTAAGACTATTCTGAAATTCGCCTGATCCATGATTGAGAAATAAATTTCAAGCGTTGGTACATAAACTTGAATACTTCAATAATGATGAACTTGCAGATACCATGACTTGCACATGAGCAGATGGTTTACAAAATACCGAAAACACGATGCTTTCTCAAGTTAATGCACGTAACTAACGTCAATGACACGACATTATTTATTTTTGCCCAAGAATAAAGATCGGTCACGTCTTTCTAACACGGCAAGTCAGGCCAACTTTGAAAAATTTGTGATATGATGAACTCAATTTGTGTTTAATGTCGCTCTATCAAGTGCGTCGTTAATTTCTAGAGATGCGGAAAATATCTCAGGAACATGAAATCGTTAAAGGGAAGACAGAATAGCAAAAGACGACGCCATGTTACACATCATCTGCATAGATTTATAGCTTGCATAGAAAATATCAGCGAAATGAAATACTATTAATTTTCAAATAAATTAAGATCATTCTCAATACAATAATTTCTTAACGTTATTAATTTAAACTTTTTTAGTAATTAATAGCACAAAATCAGATCATATTTCATTGTATTTGTCTAAACCATAAAGTCAAATTAATAAATATAAAGCAAATGTGGAGTCCAAGAATTCAAGCAAGAAAAACACAACTCAAGTAATACAAGGAGAAACTTCTACATTTCCCTACATTTTGGTGTAAAGAATTGGTACATTAACTTATGTTAAGTCGCGAAAATTTAGACCAGGGAATGTTTTGTATGCAGATCAAAACAAAATTTCCTTCGCAACTGGAACAGAAAGCAATGTTTTCGTGGAATTAACGGTAATTTCATAGCAAATTGGTTTTCCTAAGAATACCAAAATAAAGAAAATATAGATAAATTGAATTTTAAGAATAAGTGTTCAACACGCGCTGAAACAATGTGAGCGCCAATGAGTACCCACCATGAGAGAATTGGAAGCGAATTTCTCTTTGGTGACACCACATGTATAAATTTTATCAGCACAGCGCCAGACAAAGCTGATATTGTCAATTATTAGCTCAATAACGAGAGCGAAAGACACGAGTGCTCTATACTAGACCAGGCGCGCCAGCAGCGATGTATGATCGTTTTCCTGACGCCTCTGTGCATCAGGAACAGTTAAGACTAGATAAGTAAGTAGGTAAGCAAACCATTTATCGTACAACTATGAGGTGCGCTCTTTCCAGGGTCATGAAATATTGGAAGGAAACCAACAGAATGCAACGCTCATATTCATTATTCGCTGCAGGGACTGAACAGTACATTTCGTTACGAATAAGCTGCAGCACAGTTATCTCACATCTCTACATTAGTGTAACCGCTATAGGATAATTTTACCTATAGGATATAGGTGAAAAATACCGCACGTAAACAACACCGCACCTATCATGTTTGCTGTCACCGTATGAAATATTATCAAGGAGAAAATACCAAGCAAAAACATACAGAAAATGCTTCAAAATAATTAGATGAAGCAGTAATAAATTAACGATAGTGAACTGTAAACTCATCCGTAATTTCAATGAAGATTCCAAAATAAATCGAGATACCGTTTTACCTCTCATCGTGTTGACTTCAGTCGGCAGCAACGCTAACAAACACGAATGAGGAAAATTAATGCAGTGGACACTAATTGATAAGTACAGCAATAAATGGTTGTAAATATTTATGGAAGTAACCTGCTATTGTTCTTTTAGTGCAGAGCAAGAGGTTGGCTTGTCAAATGCCACAATTAAGAACAATTGCATGCTACGCAAATAGGGCGCATTTAAAATGAGATTCAGAAGTTTTCACAAGAGCAGTTTATGGAAAGGCCGATTTTTGGCTTTGTAGTGCATAGGTGCCTGGGAACGCAGAACTCTTTTGCCGACGATGATTAAACTAATGTTATCCCCCGTATAACTAAGTTGTCGATCAAACTGTAGGCTAATTCACGTCAACGACTGAAGAATTTGGTTTAGAAAATAGATTGTGCTTGATTGCATGATTAATGAAGAGGAAATTTTTTCAAGGAAATACGGGATTTGAGGCATTGCAAAAACAGTTTAAAAAAACGCTATGCTGGCGTCAACGGACCTCATGTATCACTGTACCGAATCGATTCGCAGTATCGTGAAAATTAAATAACTTTGAACAAGAAAGACCCAAAAACCATCAACAAACCAGAGCCACAGACTCTTGTCAAAATTTAGTGAGTAATTTGTACCCGAATAATTTTTAATTTTACAATGCACAGGTGATGGATCTAATTCGAGAGTTACCCTTTATAATTTTATTATTAAACACTGGATAATTTCTATCAAGCCTATTATTGAGGAATTGGTTCATTTTACCCAAGGTAAAAAGCTGCAGCAAACGCTCACTGAACAGAGATCAAATTACTGTAAGGCTCAAGCTGCACGTAAGTCCCAACAAGACTGGCGTGGGAAGAGCCACCTTCCATTCCAGGGTTTAGGGATCCTTTGTGAAGTGCAAGATATTTCTAGAGTTAATAAAGAAGCCTCTGTTTCAGAATGCTCTAGAATAAGAGTCTCATCCCAGCTCATTAGAATTAATTAACTCGGCCCGCATCTTGCATTCGTATGCAAGAGATAGGAAGATGCATTAGCTTATTTTCTATTTTGCGTGCAATTATATTAATATCAAGCAGCAGCACTCGTAATATGATTGAAACAATAATACCCTTGACGTCAGTTCAACAAGGTTAGCAGACTAATTAAGTCCGATACAATGCGCTAACACTAAGTATTCTGCAACTAAGTACCGTTTAAAAAAAATCATATCACTCTGCCTCAATTCAGCACAAAAAACATTCATGCACCGGAAATGGACGATTACTTCAGGTTTTTTACATGCTGCCTAGCTCCTGCAGTCAATACATTGACCAAATACACGAGGAAACTCAGTTTCGCGAGATGTCCATAGGTGAAGGAGGAGCAGCGGGGTGGTCAAGACTCATGGTCTCGGGCGTTGGTGGGCGTTGCTGTTTGGTGGTCGCTGCAGTGTTCAACCTCGTGCTAAGAGATGCACCGTTGCTGCCGCCAGCAGAACTTAGGCCAAGAGAGGCATTGTTAATGCTCATAGAATTAAGAGGAACTTCGACCGGCGCGCGAGCAGAACCAGATGCCAATGGTGGCATGCCTCCATAGCCGCCCGACTGTTGCAAAAGCAGTGATGACAGCGGAGATGAAGGAGGGGGAGGTGATGGCTTCACGAAACGCTCTGCTCCCCGACTTGACTGACGCACAAACTGAAGAGAAAATATAAATCAAGGTTGTTCACATGAATTAAAAATCTTAGTAAGTTATCAGGAAACATGATGATTCCATATCAACACTTCACTTAATATAGACCATGAAGCTTGCATAATAAACACTGCACGTTAACAACACCGCACGAAAACAACACCTCACGTGAAAGATACCGCACATAAACGAAATCCCACATAAAAAATAGCGCATGTTAACAGCCTGGTTTCCAAGAAATAATGGTGTCATACTACGAGATTAAAACTTGAATTTTGTTCATGGGAAATGGGAGAAACAACAGTCACATGACGTCATTTCATATGCTCAACCTCTGGTAAAGTACTTTAGTACAAAGATCTTTCATAAAATCTAAAAAAGTATTCCAAAGCAAGATAATATGTTCCAATATCAATCAATTATGGTAGAGATTAAACCCATTTATAAGAGAAAAACCTAGAGTGGATCCTGAGTTAGCGGCACTCACGTGAGAATGCCCAGAAGGTGACGAAGACAGCGCTGGGGGCAAAGCTGCATTGCAGTTTGGGCAGCGTGAGCACATCGGTGAGTTGTACAAGTACATCCAGTTACTGCTGGTGCTGCCGCTCCCTGGATTAAAACACAGGCAAATTTAGAGGTTGGATATTATAGATCTATACTAAACTACAAATAACAATGAGCTGTAGACCCTAACATTTTATTATGTATGAAAGAGTTATTAGCTTTTGCTGGTCCTCTCAGGGTAGATGAATATGAGTTGTGGATTCAGATTGAATAAATTTTGACGGGCATTATAAGTTTCAACTTATTCCAGATGCTAAAGCTCAGAATTTTAGCTGGTCTATAGTCATTTTGCAGATCACAGGAAACCATGAACAGGGTCAAATCAAGAACAAAATCATTATTAAAACTGGGGAGCATGTGAATATTGTACTCTACCTCCAAACGTCTTACTTGAAACATTCATCTATATATTTCTTGAACATTTCAGCTGCAGCTCATACTCTTGATTCCTTACATGACATGTAAGTTTCGAATCCAGTGATAAAAATTGGAAACTAGCACAAGAATTTTTAAAATACTTCTGACAGTAAATTCCGGGATGAAGAGAAGGCAATCATCTCTATACTTGGCTCCGACTTGCTGGCAAACTATTGAACCTGGTGGATATACGAAGATGGCTGCAATTAAGCACATGACGGAATTGTTGTAGCCTGCACTAGTGACCTGGGGACAGTGGCCTGCCAGGTGTGGGGGAGACCCGGTGACGGGCGTGGGGAGGAGGAGGGACGCTGTCAAGGACGCGGGTCTCTTCTTCCAGGTCCAGTGACGACTCTGACTCGGACAAATGTCGACACAGGGCCTCACGACGCTCGACCTGCACACAGAAATAAGAAGGTGCATATTTTGCATTCGCTTCGTCCAGTGCACAGGAGTCTCTCTAAGTTCAGTCAGCTATAATCATAATTAACAATGGATATTTGACTACGAGGAAAAATTACGATTCTGAAAAGAATGATTTAATAAAAGATGCTGATTGAGCATCCTCAGGACTGTAGGAGTGACAGCTCCAGCTTCCTTTCATGTATATTATTTCTATTTAATGGAGTATTTACGCTCCTAAATTTGTTGAATTACAGTAGGTTTTTAGAAAATTATGTTTTGGAAAAAACATTAAAGGAATATAATATTCCTCTATAATAACATACTAACTGAAAACACCATCAAAACGGCATGTTTATGGAAATTAGGTTGTATGAGTTGGCAAAGACTTGATAGATTTGATTCAGAGCCTATAATCACTTTGTTTAATACAACCATAAGCTGGTACAGTAGACAAGGTAATCATGATATTAAAAAATAAATTTCATGTTACCTCTTCTTGTAGTCGCCTTTGCAGCCTCTTGTTCTCCTCTCTGGTGATCCGCTCTTCCTGGGCAAGCTGCTTACTGCTACGCTCGTCTAAAACACAGAATAACTAAAAACAGTCAATAAACAGTATATTACAATATTCACAACAAAACTACAGGAAACAGTATATTACAATATTCACAACAAAACTACAGGGAAATGTATAGTTTTACAATAGTACAATTGTACGAAAAATTATGTAAGAAGCCAAAAATTCTATATTTATGGAATGGCACTAGTTTATGCTATCACCTTGCTTGCTGTCTTCATTTCAGGTATTAGGTATGTCCTTAACATCTGGGCATCGAGTCAAAAATGTGGGTCATTTTGTCCCAGAGACTACAGGAGGGTTGATAGTTTTTTTAAAGTTGGATTAGCTTCCAAAAGCCTGTACCTCATGAGATTCAGGACAGTCAATTGCATGGAGTGAGAAAGAAAAACACAGCAGTGAGTTTGTTTTGAGTTGATAAATAAAACTATCAACAGGACATACGCTGATCTTGAGTAGTAGTGAGCTGATGCCTCATGCGGGTGACCTCATTGCGAAGGTGCTGGATGTGACTCGAGATATTATTTGCAGCATCACCATCTCCACCAGCAAAGTCAGCTGGAGATGGAGGATTGCTAATTGGCTGTTCAAGTTTACCTTGCAATAACCTGCACATGAAGAAATGAATATTAATTTAGAAAGTTTTGCAATTGTTGAGCAATGTAGTGCTATTGTAGTGCAATGAGAGGCTCTGGTTGTGAGGGCTCTAGGACTAATGCGCAGTGTTGAGCTTATTTGGTTGCTCAAATACAAGTACCGTACCGTATATCATGGAATTTGCTGGAAGTTCAAAGTTAAAATTAATATTTGATAACTTGGCAATGTAAAATTGTCATAAAAAAATCAGTAGACACAGGACTGGAAATCAATGCATATATGTTAACAGTTTTAGACTGATCCAATAAGAATTTAATTTTAGGCTTAAGTTGCAATAACTAGCCAGAATTACTGGGTTACATTCATTTTTCAACAATGTATAGATACAGTGGTCATACAAAATTATTGAAAATAAACACAAGGGTAAATAAAAATCAAATCAATAAAAAACAAATCAGTCACTAGGCAACAAGAGACAACACCTTTTCTCTGCCTCTAATTTGTCCATGCGTTTCCACAGTTTGTTGACTAGCGCCTCCTGCTCCTGCTCCAATGTGTTCTCCAGTTCAATCTGAATAATATACAACAACTAGTCAGACACAATTTCATTGCAATAAATTGCTCAATTTTGAATTACAGTTAATCACACATTACTTCTAGGTAATTTATAAGGGAGAAAGGGAAATATTTTACCTACTACAAAACTGTAGCAAATATTTCAAATGGAATTACTTTTGATGAAAGAAGATTGCAATTTCTGTAGGAATTAGCATTAATTTTCAAAATATATTATTTTCAACTTTTTACTATTGGTAAACACATACTGAAAAACTAGCATTGTTTATTGTTATTAATATTTTCAGAGAGCAGCTTTAAGGCTGTTTCAATCACTCTTGTAGGATAGAGATGGTATCAATGACATTCTAGTTTTCTGCTGATAGGCAAAATTTGTCCACTGGAGAAAATAAAGCTAAACATGCTTTTGCAACAATAATCAATAATGGCTGAGACTGGAGAAAAATAGATTCACAAATATGCCACATACTTTTTCTCGACGCAGCGTCTCCAAGTCATTCTGCTTACTCTGTGTTTCTGTTTCAAGTTTTTCTATTTTACGCATCAATTTGTTCACTAAAGCTTCTTGCTCCTGCTCCAGGGTTTGTTCAAGCTCCACTTTCTCATTTCGAAGCTGGAAAAATTATATAGTTATTAAAATTTCAATAAATTAAGTTAAGTTTATTTGAGATATTTTTGCAATATGATCAGTAATGGATTCTCCACAAGGAAGATTCTCCAACTTCTAATATACACTTGTGAAAAATGTGTGAAGCATTAGAAATGAAAAATTAGGAAGCTGATATTTTATGAACCAATAGCATATATACTCACCTGAACAAGTTTGCGGGAGAGATCATTTGTGAGACACTCTTCTTCTTGTTCATAATTAAGAGCCAGAGATTCCTTTTCTTTCTTCAAAGTTTGAATTTTTTTCAACAAAGTGTTGCTGATGTATTCTTCTTCTTGCTCAGCACGGGCTTGCTGCAAAATACACATTTTAGTAATGGTGACAGTTAAACAGATTTGAAGTACTCATTCAAACCAAGGATTTATGAGGCCATAATATGACAATCAAAAACACACAGAAAAATTTAGATGCTCCCAGATGAAAATTTGCTACTAAAGAAGTACCATAAAATGGGGTAACTTAGACCACTTTTTTTTAAATGATGCCAATTTCTTACTAGCTAAATTAAACTTTAATTGAAACTTGCAAAATATAGGTCTATAGTCAAATGGGGTAAGACAGGATCGCAGCCTTCATGGGGTAAGAAAGGACCAGCCCATGGTGTGCATTCTAATTGCACTAAATTTAATTTAACAAAAGAATATGTTAGAGCAATCATTGCCTGTCATTTCAGTGTTTGTTTCAACCCTCTTCTGCAAATATTGAATTTCTGGCTAATTTTTAAAGAAAACCTATGTGAAGAACGGTCACAAAATAGTTAACCCTGTTTAGGAAATAAGCTCTGTCTAATGACAAAAAATTTTTTTGGCCAGGTTTGTGGATGTAGGCAGGTAACCTCAAGTAATAAGCAACTTTTGAGACATACTTGGCATTCCTACCTGCTACCATCACTGCCTGACATGTATTCTAAAATGGGGTAAAAAAGGACCGGACATGGGGTAAGACGGGACCACTAAATGATCCTGTTTTACCCCACAAACGGTCCTATCTTACACCACATATGGTCCAGTCTTACCCCACAAATGGTTCTCTATTACCCTACAGTATATCAAAAATAATTTTTAAATTAATATATTATTATGCAGTAACTGGAGTATTTTGGTCAAAATTTTTATCTTTTGCTCACTCTCACCAAATTTCTTTGAAAACTTCAATCTTGAATAAGGCATTATTGCTAAAATACTGGAGTTTCTTGCAAGTTTCTTGGACTTCTTATTTTTGCTAGCAAAAGTAAAGTATAAAATGATAATTAACTATGCCAGCTATATAATATCATCCATATTTTTTGCTCAAAAAGACTAAATGGATCATATGGCTGTATTTAATGTCAACAAAGTTTTCTCGTTACAAAACCTCCAATGTGACTGATATTGGAGTTGACTTCCCACAACACAAAACAGTAACAAGTGGTTGTTTAATCAAATAAAGTCTTTCTAGATGGATAATATTGAATATCAGAATTGTACTTTTATTAGAAACCTTGTAACATAAGAATTACCAGTTGGTAGAACTTAGACCACCTAATGTCAGCCATGAAGGGGTAATATTGACTGGCTTGGAAATTAAGCAAAAATTACCATATATAAGACTCTGTAGAGTCTGAAACATATAGAAAAAACATAATAGGTGTATCAAACATAAAATATGTTATATATGGTAATTTAAAATTAATTTCCAAGCCAGTCTATGTTACCCCATCAGGGCTGACATTAGGTGGTCTAAGTTCTCCCATTGGGGGGCGGCGCCCCCCATTTGCAAACTGACTTTCCTAAAATTTGTCATTTGCACATGTAACTAGAAGAGTTCTACTACAATGCATCAAAACCTGGTATTATTTTACCAAAAAATGGAAAAATTGGAGGGGGTACTCTGACAGGCTTCAAATAATAGCTTTTTTCATGGGTCACATTTTTAATTTTTTAACCTATTAGATATGCAAACTTTTTAAATCTTCCTATTGTGTTACGTAGCCTCAGTATTAGGCCTTTAATGCCCATTGACAAAAATTTTCTATGTCAAATAGTTTCTGAGTTTTGGGTTTTTTTGTTGAAATAACAAAAAGTGGTCTAAGTTACCCCGGGAGTCTAAGTTACCCCATTTTACGGTAATTCAAAATGTTTATTTTTAGACAGAATAACTACTCATGAACTATGATGAATAAACAATAGGCAAACAGAAAAGTAAGACTAGCAGCTTTTTAAGAAGATACTGTTCAGGAGGTGCATGAAATTATGAAGGACACATAAAATTAATTCAGAGAAAACTTTTCAAAAATGTCTTCATTAACATGTCAATCAACCAGGGTTGGCAATGATTAAATCAAAATGATTAAATCATGTGATAAAATCACTTGATTTTTTTATAAAAAATCATGATTTTTTTTATTTTTTCATATATTTAAAAATATTGAGTGGCAGTCTTTAATTTATATTGAGGTATTGTTATTCATGGTTTAGTATAAATGTACTATGAATGACAAATTGGTATATAAACTTGTTGCCTTTAGTGTGTATTAGGTTCCAATAAATGGAATGTTTTTGGTACAGAGGCATCAAGTGTGCAATACATTGTCGATTAGTTTTAAATATATATATAACAGTCAATAACTTCTTATGATGAAACATTTCATAAACAAGTTTAGTCTCATTTTATAGCTCTTTGCCAGGGCTATCGAATGGCATTGTCAAAAAAATTCCATATGCTATTCCTAAGGTGCCAGACGCAAAATAAAGATTGTCCCCAGTAGCCCTGTTGGTCAGGGCTACTCTGGACAAGGGGAATAAAACTTCATTTCAAAACATTTGAAGCATGCAGAGCTTACTCATCCATTACTAACAGTACTCTGAAGTCATCCTCTTTCATTGTAGATGATGTAGAGGTAGAATAAATGACATTTTCTGTGATTTATACTTGTTTTTCCTTTATTGATATGATATTACCATAAACATTAATTACTGTCAACTGGGGTGACTTTGGCCTTGTTTTTGATTCATGCTGGAGTCCTAAATGCAGGGTGGTAAACGCCTGGGTCATAAACGCCGGGGTCATAAACGCCAGGGTTGTAAACCAGGACATAAACGCCCCAGTGACTTTGGCCATTGTTTATGACCATTTATGACCCTGCTTTGGCCATCATTATGAACATGGCAGAATCCCCCAGTTGAGGGTACCCTATTATTGATGGGATATTACTGTATTATTGACACAATATTACCATATCCATGAACATGCCATTGAGCATTTACAACAACCTTGTTCACTGCAAGCTTCATATCAGCAGCCTTATAGCATTTTTTCTGTATCTGTAAGCATACAGGACGGCTTGTAATTTGTGTGATGATAAGTGAACTTTTTTTGCTCAGCGTAATCAATGGTAAAGGTAAATGTAATCAATATTCTTTGTTTTTAATCAATTTGTTCTTAACTGGAGCCTTTGCTAACTGAGGTTCTATGGTAAATGCGTTTTTGGGGGTGTCCCTAATAGCCCTGGGGGGGTGTCCCGAGTAGCCCCGCCTTGCGGAAATGGCTGCCATTTCTTTTTGGAATGAGATAGGCAAATTCTGTCAATTACGTTTTCAGGCCGACACCTGGGTGCAACTTTTATGTAAGTAAAATTTTTTAATACGGCAAATATTTTTTTGCTACATACCTTAGCAGTTGTAACTTTACAAAATATAGTTTTTCACCATTTTTTTCAGGAATTTTTCAAAGCAAGTAAATGTAGTATTTTTCGACTTCCTTTATACTACATAGATAGGAAAAATGTTGACGTTTACGCCACTATTTTCAGTTTTGCAATATTCCAATTAGTTTCGCTACTACAACAGTTTTACGACGTGTCGGAGGCCTGTCCCAAGTAGCCCCCCTTGTCCCGAGTAGCCCCGGTTGATGGTACTTTTTTCGGAAAATTCACATGAACAAAAATAGTCTTAGATTTATCTTTTACATATGTGTATCAAGTTTCAAAGTGATCCGTCCGTAAATAACCGGAATAAAATTTCCACAAGAAATTGGAAATTGCCATTGAAAATTGGAAATTTTATTTCGGTTATTTACAGACAGATAACTTTGAAACTTGGTACACATATGTAAAAAATAAATCTAAGACTTTTTTTGTTCGTGTGAATTTTTTGAAAAATGAAAGAAAATGTGATATTATTAGAAAACTGATGGTTTTTTTAAAGGCAACTTGAAAGTACAATTTGGCAGTAAAGGGTTAAGCATTTCATTGAAACTTACACTGTAATTGATTAAAAATTCTTCATTTGTAAAAACTCAACATTCATTGTGCAACCAGTAAATGGAGCTTAATTATTAAAATTTTTGATTTATGAACTAAACCTTTGTAGTTAAACAACTCTGGACAATGAAACCAGAAAAATAAAAAATAAAATTGCCTTACACCCTAACAAATTCACATATATAAAGATTGAAATTAAATATAGTTTTTATTGGTACATCCGACAGTATATATGGTTGTACCATAAACAAAACACACTGTATGCACCACTTTGTACATACAACTAAATGTACTTACTAACAGCCTCCTGGAACACAACCTATTTGTTACCTGAAGACTCCGTGTAATTGTTTCATGGGTGATTTTTAAATAATGGAGTTGAAAATGTGCTGTTTTTCCCAACTTTTACAAAAAAACATTAGGCAGGGGATGTCAAAACAGGTGAAATTGACCAGAAGCATAGGTCTTTTTGTCTCATTCATGGTGGCTTCCAGGGCTGGCAATTCGTTATTTTTTTATTATTTTTTATAATTTTTTTTTTTTTTTTCAGCTTTTTTGTCTTTTTGAAATGTTATTTTTTTATGTTGCAATTCGCCTAATAACAATAACAGTATCTGGATGGCTAAAAAGGGCAGTTATTGCCTTCAAGAATGGCCAAGGTGGTGTTTACCACTTTGGGACTTTTGGGTAAATAATTATTGATAAATCTATTCATTAGCTTTGTAAAGTTTGTATGGAGCAAAGTAACAAGCTAAATGTTGACCATTCAACTGGCTTCAATATTCAAAAACACTTCAGGAATGTTGATCTTCTAAACATTGAAGAGTCACTTAACAGATAGGTAGCTGATAGCACAGTGGACAGCACTATTGATAGAACTACTAGTTTCATGTGCTATAAATCTACCAGATCCAGACTCTACTCTCTAAACACACCAACTATAGTAGTGACTGACTGCACTGTTCCCATTTAATTCAGACCAATAAACCAATACTAAACATAAACTGAACAACAATCAAACAAACCTCAAACAACTTGAAACAAGACTTATGTTATGAGAAAAGCTAACACTTTGAAATAAACCTGTACACAATTCAAACATTTTATTTCTATTTACTGCATTTAATTATTTTATAGATAGTTTAATAATTGTCATTATTTTGTTTCTAGTTATAAATTCACATATTCAAAGATTGAAATTAAATATTTCAATTAGAATACTGGTATTAGAATGGAAAATCTTTCTAAATGCCCAAAAGGTCAATACAATCTCAAGTGCCCATAAATAAGACAACAAGCTGGGCAATAAATAAGATTATAGGACAACCCAATATTCCACACTAGGTTTCAATGTTTCATTAACTGATGACTTTGGCATAATTTTCCAGTTTAAACTTGGGAAGGATTAGAATTTTCCTGCTAGTTTCTGAAATCTCACAGCTCCAACATGACAAATTTTTAGTACATTTGGAATCTACAGCAATCCCTTGATTAGCACGGTTTTGAATACCGCGGTTTTGATCAACGCGGAAATAAAATTTGCGACCTACCCTTAATCTACACGGTGCCAGTTTTGATTAGCGCGACTTTTTTTCACAACGCATCATTTTCCCGCCTCTAGCACAAATTTATTTACAAAGTTTATGCACGTGTTACCCCAAATCTCTAATTTTACCCTTAAACAGTCAAACGGCAACAATAAAATTTGTCTCTACTGTAAGTTCAGCACGTGTTAATATACAGTCTGACCGCTTTGACATGACCGCAACTATGCGCATAGTGACAAACCACAGAATTTTTAGAATCAGTTCATTTTTAATTTCCTCATTTACTCATGATTTAAACCAGTTTCATATGTAGGATAATGCAGGTATCCAGGATACTTTACTGGTCTACATATAGGACTCAAAAATGAACTTGAGGGAGAGTCTAAAAAACTCTCTGCTTTGCCACTATGACTATGCGCGATCTTCAACAAACGTTTTGTTTATTTGTTTACATTACGATGTTTATGTTTTTTCTGCAAGATATTTTTGGCAGAAACGGTAAAGCAATGCGGATTGCGGAAGTTGAAAATTTTATGAAATGACATGTTTGCGAAGTGCAAACCGCGATTTTTTAATCAAACAAAAATTTGTGACATTCGAGCCGCGAGATTTCATACCTACTGAAATTATATGATATTAGAGCCGCGATATTTCAGACAAAAATAGGACTTTTCCAGACTAAATTAGAGCCGCGATATTTCAGACAAAAATAGGACTTTTCCAGACTAGTTTGGAATCTTGCGGCCTGATCATCATTGTGATTTATTTGTGCATATTGTTAACAATTAGGCTAGATAGGAAGTAATTCATTGGTCAATGGGCAGATATCTTGTGGTTCCAGAAATGGTAGGAAAGCTCTGGCTGCAGCCCATAGCCCTAATGGTACCTAGAAGTTTTCCATGCTATGATCATGATGCTTGACTTGGGTTTGAAGATGATTAAGAAAAATTATATTTCTACTTCAAAATAGATTAACGAATAGCAACTGGTTGCATTATGATTAATGACTTTATCAAAAATCTATGGCATAATATACATAAAGCGATAAAGAAGCCCTGCTATGGTACTGTCGGTACTCGGTAGGTACAATATTCAACTCTTCAATTTTATTCTTACTATGTTGACTGATGCTTGTCGAAGAGCGCGATTTTCTTCTTGCAGGCTTTTTACTCGAAGCTTGAATGTTTCAAGTTCTGTTTTAAGTACTCGATTTTGCTGTTGGAGAGAATCAATCCTTTTCTGCCACTGTTCTCTCGTGATGGGTGACGGTGGCATAGATGGTGGCTGCATAGTAGGGCCATCGGCAACCGAAGACGAATCACTCTCACTAGCGCTATCCGCCATGTTTACAAAACGTGAACTGCTATGCAACTATAGACGAAGCAATACCATAAGATATATCATAGAAAACCGAAGTGCAGTAATAATTTAATCAAAGTCATTCCTATATGGAGCGGAGAAATAAATGCTGAAACTTTTGTATTCAGTTTAGCAAATTTCTTACTGCGAGCCCATACTTCCTGTGGTCTTTCATAAATTGACAATGCATCTATCTAATTGGTTTAAAACTTTAAAGAATATTAAGACATAATCTATGTATGCTTCATAAGATGAATGAAGAGTGCATCAATATAAAAAAAAACTAAAAATTAGAATATTTGAATCCAAATCTATTTCGGTTACATCAATTACATCTCTATATGTAAATTCAAAGTCCTACGATTACATTTACATCGCTGACATGTCGGACAATTTTACGGCCGGACTCGCGGCCGGTCTCGTGGCCAATTTCCAAATTTAATGACCAAGAAATATCTCCCAAACTAAAAAACGCAGCTCGATGAAACTTGGTACACGCATTCATTAGAACCTAACATTGTTAATTAGCTCGTGAAAATTTTCTGTATTTCACCGTCAATCGTGATTTAAACCGCGAAACGGGCCGTATAAATCTTTATTAATATCCTATTATCAATTCACCTACATTCGTGAGTTATACAGCAATACGGGCCAAAATGTGCAGTGACCAAACCGAGACATTTCTTTTAAACTATTGAACAGATTTGAACGAAACTTTGAATATACATTCCTAACTGCTCAATGGTAATGTTAAGGGGGGGGGGGTTATACCTTAAAATTTTCGGATTTGGCTTCTTCGGGTTTTAGTCTCATCTTAGAGCTGACATTCTGCCCTATCCAACGGTACCATTGCCATCTCTGTACGTTGATTTATGCTTTCACGACAGATCATGATAGGGGTCGGGTGGGGGAGTTCTTTAACAAATTAGATAGGAACTAATTCGCTGCCAGCACTATAAATACAGTGTTTGCTTGACCGACTAAGCTTGAGGTGCAGCTCAGTAACCCGCCTGGCATTGTATGAGGAGGTGCGCATGTAGTCGCTCCCACCATCCTTGAGTGGAATCAAACTCCAGAAACGTTCAGTTTCATATCCCTACTACATTGAGTGCCTATTGCGATGAACGCGGGACTTTGTCGCGCTCTACTGAAAAGTTTAACTTATTGTCACTGCAAACCTTTCTCCTCCTACAGTTTTGAAGCTACAGCGATGAGACATATACCATTCGATTCGTAAAGACCATACCTATCAGGTAACGAAGCCTTTTTTAGCGCATTTTCTCATTTATGGAAAAAATGCACTATTGTGCTCGCCATGTCCGTCTGTCTGTCTGTCCGTCCGTCTGTCCGTGACCTCAAGTTTTCGTCGACGAGAAAATGCGCTCTCTGTCACTCACTGTTGTGAGTACTGAGTTACATTTTTTAGATTTATGCATAGTTTGGACTCAAAATGGGGGGAGGGGGAAAATTTTGAAGAAAATGAGAAGAAAACGGAAAAATGAGTGTAAAAAAACTAAGGCAAAAATCAAACATCGGGCTTCGTTACACGATTGGTATGGTCTTCACGCATCGAATGATATGCGTCTCAATGTTGTATGCGTCTCAATGTTGTAGCTTGAAAACCCTAAGAGATAGATTTCTACAGTACCCCCTTTTTTGTCCGTTTTCTATGAATTTCACGTTTTCTATTAATTTTCCGAAAAAATCATACGAACAAAATGTTCTTGCATTTTGTTTTTACACATATGTGTGAATTTTCAGAAAGAACCGTTAGTAAATGTGGGAGTTTTTCTGGAGGGTGTACCCCCCCCCCTTAAGCTCAAAGCAATTTTTTCGATTTTGTCTTCGTTTGCGAGATATACGGAGGAACGACCGGCATTTCTGTGGCAGATTTTGCGATCGGTTTTCAAATTTGCATTTACCAAGAAATATCTCCCAAAGTAATGAAGGGAGGTCAATGTAACTCTGTACACGTATTTATTAGAACCAAATGGTGAAATTAAGCTCATGAAAATTTTTCCGATTGCTCCTTCGTTCTCGAGTTAAACCTTGATCAATACACCTTGACTCAAGTTTTCAGCACGCTTTTCTTGACCCCTACCTTCATATTAGTACTAAATAATGAGAAGAACGGTCGTTTGTAACTTCTAAATCCAATCTCAAACTCCTTTAGCCATCCTCATTCCTCACATTATTTGTCGAAACCTAAAAATCACAGTTCAGAGAAGTCGTATACGGTTTTTAGTGACGAGCGGCGAGGTGAGCAGTTTCTGCTAATGACTTGTGTGTCATGGAAGGTAGCCGGTGAGCAAATGCCCAGCCTCAAAATGCAACAGCGTCTCTAAAAACTGCAGGTTTTTGGTAAAAGAGTCAAGGCAATGAGAGTAGGTGCGACCGGATGCAGAACTGGCTGCTTTTTAGTAGGCATGGTTAAGCACCTGGCTGTGGACTTACGGCAGGTTTATTATAGTTGGTAGACTTCAACGGGACAGTACCAAGGTCCAGGAAAAAGTTTCGCATCGCACAACAGTTTACAGAGACGTGCCAAAAGGAAGCGTTCTCTGGCCATTTTTGTTCATTGCGTTTATTATCGATCTATCACAAGCAGTGACAAGGGTGTGCTCCATGTATACTGACGACACACTAGTTTCAAATGCTTTCGAGTTTACAATTGGACAACGCCGAGGAGGAAGACCACGTCAGGGAGAAGACGACACTTGAGTGATCTGCCCAGGTCTGAGTACCGAAGACCAACCGCACCAGGAGGCACCAACCACGTCTGAATGACGGCCTGAAAACTTCGGATGTGATCATAAGGCCGGATTCACACCACACTGCTAGGCACCTGCCAGTCCAGTATTCTTTAATGCATTCCTATTATAGATGCATTCACACCATGGGCATGGCAGGTGCCTTGCACGGCTGGATAATGCAAAGTAGCATCAGAACTCATTGCGCGTCTACCTTTATACAGCACACTCAAATCTTATTTTCTTGCCTCATTAAAGGTGTTACGTAAGCAGGGCAATCAAATAAGTCTAAGCAATTAACAGCTTTTCATTTCAACATCAAATAATAATTGCAATAAACGAACAGATATATATTTTTAAAACTTATTAAAGGAATCAATAAACCAGAGACGGACCGAGAAAAGAATAATTTCGATAGCATTACCTATCATAGACAGAAATAACTTGCCGACATAGAAGATAAAATTTTTACAGCAATAAAGACATCTTCGGAACTCGGCAGCTGCTCTAAACTGAGAGGGATAACTGGTGGTCAATAACTGAATAGCACTGAAAGAAGTGCATGACAATAATGAGCAGTTTCGGGCAAAATGAGCATCTATATGTGCTCAGAGAATATGTAACGCTAATATAATCAATGGCACAAAATTAATCGCATAGGATAGCTCTGCATATACCTCCCACAGCAAGAAAACAAGCTCACCGACCGACTGTACGAGCGGCAACTAACTGAAATTACTCACGGCCCATGCTTATTAATTAAAAGGTCATGCATGCGAATGAACAATAGTTGCTAAAATTCCGGTGAGCTGCACAACGATGAAGCGCACCTCTGTACCATAAAACTTGCTGTAGCTCAGTTTATAGCCACGATCCGCGCGTTTAAGTAATGCAATAGAAATATCATAAATATTTTGAAGTGACGGATTTTTAAATTCAATTGCAGGACTTACCTCGTTAATAGGCTCAATTGCAAACGTGGATGTTAATGGCAAGCCATTAATGATCGTACTGAGAAGAACGCAAGAGGGGCCGCTTCAAGTTAATCCTCGTGAAAGTGAATATTTCTAGCCGTAATAAGGCACGTCGTAACCTAAAATCGAAACCCCATTATCCTGTGAACTAGGAGAACAAGTAACAAGAGGAAAAATACTGATGACGCTTAAACAGACAACAATGTCTAGCATGTCTGAAAGAAAAGAACAAAAGAATCTTGTGTAAAACAAAAGAGTATATCAAAATCTTATCAGAACATAATTTTCGCGGTTGGTTCTAAAGAGTAGCAAAAGAAAATTGCAATTGATGAATATTACATTTGGCTTCATATAATTCTCGTAGGAGAAAGGAAATCATATGAATAGTAAACGACAAATTCTTAGGAAAATAGCAATGAATGCAACAATCCAGGAACGTCTTGTAGGAAATGTATAAGTCATTCCCACATTTCAACAAACGGTGAAGTTTACGACTCTAAACTCTGAAGTTGCATTAACAATTACAATAAACTATCAAGGTTGTTTACAGATGAGAGAAGCAACAACCATACCCTTACCCGTTAAGGGAATCAACTTTATAGGTGAGCATGAATTACGAGTGGTTGAGTGACGAGGACTGCCGTTTTGTTGAGCGTAGGCCTGCTATTATTAAAACGTGCAGTGCCGTACAATTTTTAAACAGAATCAGTAGAATTGACAAAAGTATAACGATGCAACTAAACTTACAAGTTTGTTTCATTTAACTATGTACAAGCATCTACGAACAAAATTTGCAATTCTTCTGGATAGCAACGTGCTACTATCAGCTACTCAACATAGCACTACTCTAACAGTGAATAAGGCAGGGACTTCAATAAAGAAAAAGCCCTTAAAACTACGAGTTTCGAAGCATTTAGCCAAACTTGGGTTTAACATAAATCATGATGAACAGAACAAGGGGCTGAGCAGAGGTTTGCAATAAGCTGTATATTAATAAAGGATGTATCTAATTGCTAGACAAAATTTGCTAAAAAGGAGTTTAAAATTTGATCGTTCGTTTGATGTACAATTTTTTTATACGAGTCAATCACAATGATTGAGACGTAATGCAATGAGTATAATCGGAGTTATTATAGGGAGACGTTATTACTGCAGGTGTATCATCTTCAGCATTAAATTTGCATAAATTCATACATCAACGATGATGAAATGGAATCTTACTAGTGCCATCCTTTCACAAAACATTTTAAAAGCTATTTAAAATTATAATTTATTGACGATCTATTTCGAATAACATTTCTCATGGGAAATAATGATGCGAATGAGTTCTGTGCAGTTGCACATTTCGCTTCAAAAATTGTCTAATGTCTCAATAGAACCTATTTTGATTAATATACTGATTGCTCTTAAGAAGTTTATAAGGTAGCCAGCTTCGAAAGCACCACTCCGAGGCAGCGTTTGAGTGGGTGTAGGCGCGCATGGGTTACAAGGCAGGAGATAACTGAAGACAAGCATCTCCAAAAAGATTAGCAAAAACCAAGAAAAATTGTGCTGTTAAAAAACATGGCTAACAACGCGGCAGCATGGAATCATCCATGAGCGCAAAAAATTGCCACGTGTGGTCCTATTCTGCTTTAAAAAAGACGGAAGGATCCAAACGGAAACCTGGCAAGACAAGGTTGTAATTGCCAGTGAAAATTTAAAGTTTTCTCAATTTTAGTGTCATTTTTACGCTGCTCCATTGACTCAGCCTTGCACAAGATGCCCATTTATTACCGACAAGGTCATTCACAAAACGAACACTTCTGGGGTAGTTCAACAGAAACTCTGTGCATATGTTGTCCGCAGCTTCATTGTTGGCATGGTTCCCGAGAACAGATGGATGGGAATTTATCTTTAGATTCAGAGGTGATGATCGAATTTAAGACTAAAGATGTGTAGGCGTGAGCCCTGGCTGTATGCTTCAAGCAGGAAGTAGTATAATTGAATAAGAGCTGCTGGCTAGGAGAGATATGCACCATGGTAAATTTCAATGACCAGCAGTGATGAATTTCAGAGTTTAGAAACAGCTGCTTCGTCATCCTATTGAGCAGCGGCACACACCGACATGGCGTCGTCACGTTCCTCGCACAGCTCCTTGCCGGTAGCTTCAAGCTTCCCCTTCGCAAAGTCATCAATGGGAAGACCCTGCAATGTTCGGGTTATGGGTTATACTAGCAAAAACTAGTGAAAGTTTTACCTGTTCAATTTATGGCAATATGACTTTCATATTAGTAGCATAAAAATTTGATATCACTGTTTATTAGCTTAAAACTACACAAATATTTTATAATACAGTTTCACTTTGAAAGCTTCTTGATTGGGAGTTTTTTTTAAATTTGAAAATCGATCTTCAGGGTATAATACAAATGAGGCCATTGTCTTGTATATTAAATTAAATTGCAGTATATGAAACATTGAATGGTCAATCGATCATTCTTATATTTCCTCACCTGCACGATAGACCATTTGCGATCTTTGATGTGGACAGGGAACGAGAACATGACTCCGGGCGCAGTGTCGTAAGAACCATCGCTGAAGACACCCATGCTGACGAACTGGCCGTCGGGAGTGCCATTCCACCAAGAGCTCATGTGGTCACAGGCCGCCTTGGCCGCCGACATCGCTGATGACAGCTTGCGGGCAGCGATGACGGCACCGCCGCGCTTCTGCACCGTCTGTCAGTGATGTTGGAGACACATTATCCTTGGCCACAAGTTAACGATTTGAATTAAGTACACATCAATACTAAAAAGCATTGATGGATAAATTTGGCGTCATTGGCGAGAACATAATTCATCAGAGGAAGCAACCCTGCCTCAAAAGAAGTATTAGAATATTGGCTCTTAAAAGACAACGAGCACGCAATATTTTGCTAATTACAACCATTTTTTGCGTTTCAAATTGGTATCTAGAAAAAACCCAAAATTTTTGATGGTGAAATTTGCAAGTACAAACCATTGTTAATCAAGATTATCCATTTACAAGGTCAAGGATTAACAATCACATCAATTATATCATCGTGATGAAAAGTGAACATGTAATCCAATAAAAAATTACATCAATCAATTATATTGGCCATAACAAACTATGTGCGCAAAAATGTACACTTGGTTTTTACACATATTTCTTTTAGTAATCTTCTTAGAATTGCTCGTGGATCCTCACAGCAATTTCAGAAGCTTCATGAATATAAATTTTTAGTGCCAGAACTTCCCTCACATAGCAAGTCAATAACATACAGAGATAAAGTCTCCCATGAGCCAGGCGTCATCATTGACCGCCTCGTAAACAGGCTTGCCGTTGACGGTGGCGTGGCGAACGTCCGGGAACTGCGTGGACGAATGGTTACCCCAGATGATGCAGTTCTTCACCTCCGCTACTGGCACGCCCAGGCGCGCCGCTATCTGAGCCTGAGGTGTATTCAGAATTAGCAATCACGGCAGGCATGAAGAGTGCATCACAATTTCCCCTGCAAGTAGCATTTGAAGTGAGATTTACCCATGAAAGCAATCAACTGCAAGAAACTGGTACCATTAAACATAATAAATATTAAACCAAGTGCAATAGTAGTAGAAGACTTTCATTTTCAATTTGAATCAGAAATTTTATTTCGATGGAAATGAATGGTGGTTATTCACACATGCCATGAAAATTAACTAAACCGACTGAAATGTTTGAAGTCATCGTAATTTAAAGATGCTATAAAGCTTAGATTTGGCAGTCAATCTCATGAGAAAACGACACATTAATCAAAGATAAAATGTAACTGCATGTAATGAACCATCAACAAATATTACATTCATTAATTGGACATTTAATGGGATATATAAATCTCTCATAGTGATGAGAAGGCATACCTGGGCCCGGTTTTGATCCAGTCTGGTCATTGCAGAGAAATTCTCTTTAGGGATCGTGGGTGCATACTGGGAGCAAATGAGGGCATTGGTGTTGGCTGGATTACCCACAACCAAAACTTTAACACTCTTCTTGGCATATTTGTCCAGCGCTTCTCCCTGCGTATTCATCAGAAGTGGTCAAATATCAACAGAGGTTGCAGACGTGTTTCAAATGTAATGACTGCTGTAATATTTCCACAATAGGTAAAAGATCTCGTACAACAAGATTTTCTGTTAAGTCTATCATCTAATAAACTCAAAAATGAGGAGATAAAGGCTTTGATGAGAATTTTATATCTCAGTTAACCATGCTTGAGTAAATAAGAAGCCACTAAATTAATTGAGAATTAACCTGAACTTTGAAGATCTTCACATTAGCTGCCAGCAGATCCTTTCGCTCCATGCCTTCTTTGCGAGGCATTGCTCCCACCAAGAAGGCAGCATCAATGTCATTGAATGCCACAGCAGGGTCAGCAGTAGGAACAACGTCTATATAAGAAGGAAAAAGTTGAAGTAAAACAACAAGAAAAACCCTGCAGTAGAATTAAAAAATTCCAAAATGTTCACCTGGTAGGCTGGTGTATTCTTGAGTATACATATGCTTTTAGGTGCAAACTATTTACAACCATGTACTTGTTTCACTTTGAGAAATAAGTTTGTAAAATAAATTAATGCCAAATTGGAAATTTATAGTAATCATAAAGCTTAGGAAGAGCTAACATAAATTAATTACAGAAAACATTGGAAGTTGTTTTCTCTAGTAATAATGTGACAAAAATTGCAAAAAAATGCCCAAGAATTTCTATGAAATTGCAAAAATCATAAAATGGATGTTATTTGAAGGAAATATCTGATGGTCATTTTTTTATTTCATGTCATTGCAATTGGTCCTGAATGACTAGAGCAACTTAGGGGACCAAGTTATACATGTTTATTCAATTTTATATTGGGCAAGTTCTTTTGAACTCAAATCAACACTTTTTTGAGAGGCCTGCACTATAAAGGTAAAAAATAACTTTTATACAGTAGAACATTATGTAAACTAACTTCAAAGCAAGGCTTCAAACCATTTTCTTACTCTACACGAGGTACCTAATTGTGATACAAGTATATTTAATATTCACCTCTGACACATGGTAGAGCACAGTCGGCTATCTCCATGCAGACACCTTCAAGTGCCCCCATCATGGGTGGGATGTCAAGGAGGTGAAGAGAGACAGGCGTGTTGGGGCCAAAAACAGCACCAGAGCCAATCATGTACACCAGAGAGTAGCCAATCTGACCGGCAGCACCAGTCACACATACTTTCACAGGGGATGCCTGCACACATTATAAAGATTAGCATAATAGCGTCACTCAATAAGCAATACAGTGGTCAAGAAATAAAATATTGCTGGTACATGTTGCTCATGCTCACATACAATTTCAATTTCATAAAAAAATATCATTTTGCCACAATTTTAAAAATAATCCATGAAATGATCATCTGTACCCACAGCTCATCTAGAATACCTGCCCAAAATTCCAGATAGACCATTCAGCCAACCTACAAAATCCTGTTACAGGCAATCTTCAAAATTTCAGGAAAAAATAGTGCCTCCTATTTTTTTATAATTAAATTATGCAACGGCCACAGTAATGGGGGGTTACTTAAGCTTTGTGGCCACATATTCACTAGCACTACAGCTATTTAGCTATCATGCACCAGAAGTCAAGGCAAACAGAACAAAAATGGTTGGAGGTCTCAATTGTCCAGCATACTGAAGCTGACTTGAAAGAAGTAGTAATAGCATCTGAATGAGGCAAAGTGACAAGGAGGGACAAGTGAAAAAAAACAAAGACTCGTACAAGAGGTTGTTAACAAGGGACTACGCCCCCCCGCACAAGAGAGACGGAGAAGAAAAATGCAAGGAATACTGCCTACATGAAAGCTTAACCCCATAACTGAAACCCTCCTTTAGGCACTGTGAGCTCTGTTGTGACGCACTCAGGAAAATTGCCCCTAAAACGGCAAAATCACGAGGGATTCTAATGAGCAGAAGAAGTAAGAAGACCCCCTGAGCTGTCATAGTAATGGATTTAACTAACTGCAAGCACAGACATTTGCATGACATTCACAGTACGATTTTGTCTAATTTTCCCTTTGGTAATGGGGAATTTACACATGTTGGTCAATTTTTAGTTCTTCCTAAGGTTTCAATCCCTTATATAGCCATCAGCTTCTGCCCATAAACAAGGTTTTGCTAGCACTTTCCCCATCAATCTCTACCAGGTAAAGTGAAAATTATATCCCCAATTTCATATGTCTAATAATATAATATAATTATATTTATTATAATGAGATGCCAGAGTGACACCGGACAAATGGTTGTGTCCCAAATAATAACAATTTTTTGCAAATCACTGCCAGAACTTCCATTTGCTCAAGATTGAACATTACTTCATTAGGTACCATATTATTGATGTGATATTACCATCTCCATGTACATGCCATTGAGCATTTACAATGACCTTGTTCACTGCCAGCTTCATATCAGCAGCCTTATGGCATTTTATATGTATCTCTAAGCTTACAGGGCAGCTTCCAGCTTGTACCTAATTTCACACCATTTAATTACTATGTCAAGTGAATTCACTATGAAAAAAGATTGTGAAAAACATACCTAAAATAGAAAGGAATATTTTAGTGACAACTACCATATTTTTTTGGAGAAACAATGGTAGGTAGTTCAAGTTAATTACTTTTCATTCTAAATTGACAGGTGCACAATTCTATCTATGATTGTGACATTCTATGCAGGAATTTTATAAAGCCCAATGAAGCATTAATTTTTGTTATTAGTAAAATTTTCATGGTAGAATTTTTTTTGCTGAGCCTGAGCATTGTCAGTGAGCTGTGACAGTGTGACCTGCAAGCAAAGTAAATGTAATCAAAAATTTTTGTTGTTAATTGATTTCTTTGTTAAATGGAGCCTTGGCTAATCAAGGATCTACTGTAAATTAATTTTTAGGAGTGTCCCTTAACCTTTAATCTTAGGACCCTAATTACCCCAGGCCCAGGGGGTGTCCCTCAATATTACTTTGTCTTGTAGAAATGGCTGCCATTTTTTTAGTGAGATACAAAAATTCTATCAATCAAATTTTTAAGCCAACACCCATGTGCAACTTTCATGCAAGTAAAATTTTTGAATTTGGGGAATATTTTTTTGTCTAGACCTTTGCAGGGTGTGCAGCCATAGACCAGCAAATTAACGCTCAAATCAGCCCTGAAGCCAACATCAACCATCTAAATGCTATAGATATTGTCATCCTGGCACGTAAGCAGCTGTAGTCAATTGACCTATTTTACCACACAAACTTTAAACCAACACTGCTTCAGCACACAAGCTGCTACTCTACATTGTCAACAGTCAATACATTGTTCTGCAATGCTTCGTAACCCATACCATCACTTCTTACACATGCTGTTATCCTAAGTGTCCGCTGACCACACTGCATTGACGCAAATGTGAACTGTACCAAATGGTAATGCGTCATCACCTTATTTACTCCGCAAGACGTTAACCCTGCATCACTGTTTCCCTGCCTTAGTATGCCCCAGCATCTTCTTCCCCCACACATACTCCAACTCTCCACCATTATTGCATGGCTAACTGGAGGCTCTTTTCACAGACCTTTGATGCTTATCTGAATTAGGTTAGGTTACAATTTGTATAGATTCTCTTCTCATAGCGTAATGCAGTCAAGTGAGCAGAAACTAAGAAAAGCCGTCCGGCAGTTGGGGTAAAAAAAGCGGGGAGATGGAGGCATGGAGGTAGAATTATGCTGGGGGAAAAAAGCTGTGACGAACAGACGGGCTGGAGTGCTGGCTGTGTATCAACAGCGGTATGGTGTAGGGAGTAGCTTATCAAAAATCATGAGGTTAGACGGCATGGGATAGAGCTGTTGGGCAGTTTTGAATACGGCGTAGAGCGGTTGTATTGGTGGCTTACTTCCAATTAGCTCGCTGGTTAATTTCCATGAAGGGGATTTGTACCTTTGGCTTTCAACATATAATCCCTTAGTCTACTCTGCTCTTTAGCAGGCTTACGCACGGAAAGGAGGATGAAAGATATGCTGGTCTTGGGCAATGCTGGCCTCTGGCATGCATCCCCCTTAGCAGAGGTACCTACTAGCTAGGCATAGTGACAAACCAGAGATTTTTTAGAATCAGTTCATTTTTAATTTCCTCATTTACTCAAGATTTAAACCAATTTCTTAAGTATGATAATCATAGTGACAAACCAGAGATTTTTTAGAATCAGTTCATTTTTAATTTCCTCATTTACTCAAGATTTAAACCAACTTCTTATGTACTGTAAAATGGGGTAACTTAGACCACTTTTTTTGCAAATGAAGCCATTTTTTACTAGCTAAATTAAACTTGAATTGAAACATGCAAAATACAGGTCTATACTCTAGCTTCACTCACCATAAATTGCTGGCTCCTGCCTCTCATAGTCTTTATGTAATTTAAAAAAAAGTGATGGTCTTTGTTACCCCAGCTCTTGGGGTATCTTAGACCGGGTGGTAAAATCAATTATATTTTTTGGTAAAATAACTCCAGGTTTTGGTGCATTGTAGTAGAACTCTTCTAGTTACATATGCAAATGACAAACTTGAGGAAAGTGTCATAGTTTGCAAATGGGGGGCGCCGTCCCATAATGAGGGAAATGTGACTACCTAATGGCAGCCCTGATGGGGTAATATTGACTGGCTTGGAAATTAAGTTAAAATTACCATATATAAGACTCTGTAGAGTGAAACATAAAGAAAAAACATAAATAGGCTGTCAAACATAAAATATGTTATATATGGTAATTTTATATTATCATCCAAGCCAGTCTATGTTACCCCGTCAGGGCTGACATTAGGTGGTCTAAGTTACCCCATTTGGGGGCAGCAACCTCCATTTGCAAATTATGACACTTTCCTAAAATTTGTCATTTGCATAACTAGAAGAGTTCTACTACAATGCGTCAAAACCTGGAGTTATTTAACCAAAAAATAAAAAAATTGGAGGGGGTACTCTGACAGGCTTTAAATAATAGCTTTTTTTCATGGGTCACATTTTTAATTTTTTAACCTATTAGATATGCAAACTTTTTAAATCTTTCTATTGTGTTATGTAGCCTCAGTATTAGGCTTTTAATGCCCATTGACAAAATTTTTCTATGTCAAATAGTTTTCGAGTTTTGGGGGTTTTTGTTAAAAAAACGAAAAGTGGTCTAAGACTCTGTTACCCCGCCGGTGGCCGGTCTAAGTTACCCCATTTTACGGTATGATAATGCTGGTATCCATGATACTTTGCTTATCTACTTATAGCCTAGGACTCAAAAATGAACTTGAGAAAGAGTCTAAAAAACTCTCTGCTTTGCCACTATAAGCTAGGTACTTTTCCAAAATCTCCCTCTTTGCTTATCACACTTTTTTTTAGAGATATTTTAGAAGTAATAAATGTACGACTTGACTTGCTTAGTGCTAGCCTACATACTAGCCTACTAGGTCAGTGGTTCCTAAACTTTTTCTGGCTGGCGCCCCCCTTGGCTCCCCAGTGAATCTCTAGCGCCCCCCAGGTAACAGACACATATAAAAACAATCGCCTCTTTCTTTATATTTAATATGCTGCAATTTTGAAAGAGAAAGGTTAAACACAGATCTTTCCAGAGGCCCCCAAAGATCTTTCCACTGCCCCCAGGGGGGCAATATCACCCACTTTGGGAACCACTGTAGTGACTGTACTAGGTACATTATGTACATATAGATTGTAAAATTGTTGAACTTTACAACACAATTTTTAGTATTGCAATATTTTGATTAGTTTAGCTGCCACAAGATTTCTATGAAATGTGGGATGACTGTCCCAATTTATATACCCCACCCAACACCCATCCCTTATTATCCCATTTGACAGACCAACAGTAGTGGACTGTGGACAAACAGTTTTTTATATAAAATCGAGGATTTCTTTTGGAAACTGCAATGTTAGTGCTGCGCCACCTGCAGCAGCATTAGTGGCACTGATAGAGTGATAGTAGCCCAGTCCCCAAGGCCAACTGTATTACTTTTCTTTTTGGCTCTATAAGAAAAATTTCAATATTGACCACAAATTGAACTTGGGAGTTGCATGCTTTTTGAGGGGAAGTTTTGGCCTAAGGAGAAATTTTCAAGTTACAAGGTGAAAAATTGAGATAATTTAGTAAATTCCAAAACAAAAAGTATCATTATGAATAACATAAAGTTTAGATCTCAGCTAACTATAAGGTTAAAAAAATTAATGCAATTATCTCACCATTTTCGATTAGCTAACTAAGATAGTAAGGATCTAACACGCACTTGTGGCTTGACAATCAGCTAACAGCCGGTTTCGTTTTCTAGGACACAGAGTTTGAAAGGAAAAACGTTTTCATTTCATTACTATATTCGTCAATAGATGGCGCTGTTTTACTGGACTTGTCTAATTGAAACGCAGTATAGACCCCTGCATAGCCCAAGGAAATGGCACCTATGGCTTTAGGCACTTAATCACACCGGCTAATATGCCCTCTAGCGTGATTACGAGCAGAAAGGAATAGATATTGAATTGTGGGCAAGGGCTATGCAGGGGTCTATACTGCGTCCCCTAACACGCTTCGGAGGCTCGGAGCGACACATAGACATGGATCGACACTTTTTGCTTAATTAAACCATGAAAGTGACATATAAACACATGTTAATTTCATTCATAGTAATACAGTGGACACTCTATAATTGAATAAAACCACATCAGCGCCCAATAAATTACAAATTGTGAGTGCATGGATCGACTTCACTTCAGGGTTATTGTCCAGGCATTATAGAGAACATATGTTAAATTGTCCATTTATGTGGAAATAGTCTATATTTTATGGAATGATCATGCGATGTGTGTAGTCAAACATCATGCGATGTGTTGACTTTAACAATTAACTCGCAGATATGTGTTGCACCTTAGTGTTCATGAATACCTAGTGCGACTAATATGTTTTGTTGAGATAATCATGAATTGCAATACTTAATCCCCCCACTGGGGTTTGGTCAAGTGAGGAACAGGTTCGGTTAGTGTGATTCCCCCCCACTGAGGTTGGGTCAAGTCAGGAACAGGTTCATTTAGTGTGATACCTGTCTCTTATACACATCTAGATGTGTATAAGAGACAGTATATCAACAAGGTTACGGTATGAGGCTTCTGTTTATCATTGGAATATATCAACAAGGTTACGGTATGAGGCTTCTGTTTATCATTGGAATATATCAACAAGGTTATGGTACGAGGCTTCTNGATATTATCTACTTATATTTTAAATTTGAAGAAAATCCGTCCATTATTGACGGAGTTATGCGTGCCACAGTTGAAAATTAAGTTAGGTTTTCCGTATTAAAAAGAAAATTATTGATGAAAAAAATTGAAAAAAATACCCTCCGCAGCGTACTGATATTATCTACTTATATTTCAAATTTGAATAAAATCCGTTCATAATTGAAGGAGTTATGAGTGCCACAGTTGAAAATGAAGTTCGAGCTCGCAGGCGAGTTCGCACGCGAGTTCGCTGAAGTGTCGAATCGGTTTTAGTCCTGGCGATGACTGCATTTAGACATAGCAATGATATAGGTATAAAGCTATGACATAGTAGCAATCATGGTTGAACTAATACAAGGTTGACCCACGCGCAGCTGCGATTTGTGTATGTCATTTGTTATTCGTGATGTTACCTTGGTCGTTGTGACGTCACCTTGTGACGTCATCCTGTGATTCAAATTGATTTGTAACACCTGTTTTGCTTAAAATAAGAATAGTTGCAGTAAATAAATTTTTTTGGCCATTTTAATAAGGTCACTTTTTTGTGGTTGAACTTACACAAGGTTTTACCTGGTGCAGCTGGGCCTTGCGAATGTCATTTGTTATTCCAACTGTGACGTCACTTTGGCTATTCTCACATTGGCTCCTGTGACGTCACCTCGTGACGTCAAACTGATTTGTAAAACCGGTTTTGCTTAAAATATGACTAGTTGTATGCAGTAAATAAATTTTCATGGGCCATTTTGAGGAGGCCAATCATTTTTTAGATGCTTTCAAAAATGACATGAAAACAGTGCATTGATCTACACTATTTACATTTTGTGCCTACAGTGACGTCACTCATGAGATGCGCTCCCCGCAGAACGGCGAAAAATCGTCATCGCCGTGGGTCAACCTTATATTAATTCAACCATGGTAGCAATGACATACTTTAGCTATGGAATGGCAATGACATAACTATGATTGGGTTATGACATGGCGGTTATACTGCCCTATGAGGCTATGACTAGGCTATGACATGGCTATGATAGCTATGATATAGGTGTGATATGGCTATGATATAGGTATGACATGGCTATGATATAGCAATGTTATGGCTATTATAAAGCTATGACATGGCCATGATATAGCTATGATGAGGCTATGATATAGGTATGACATGGCTATGATATAGCTATGATATTGCTCCGGCATAGGTATGACAAAGGTATGATATGGCATAACATAGTGATGTCGGCGCTGAAGATCGAGTAGGCCTGATGTGGCCTGTCGCCGATCCTTGTACTTTTTGTGACTTGTTCACAGAAGATCCAAAAGCATGTCATTTGACTGGATCTTTTCAAGACTGACGATAATTTGAAATTGCTACTCGACTTCCACCGGGATCGATTTGGTTGTAGCGGGTCTCGCTACATAGAAATAATTTTATGTTTATCATATTTACTATATCTATAAGAATTGTCCAGAGAAAACTCACTGGGCAGGGTGGCCCAGTGGTTAAAGTTCAGAGTACCAAGGTTGACGCAGAGAGGCGCGGGTTCGATCCCAGCTCTGTGCGCCAGTTTCTGGTCAGAATCGGCAAGGAGGCCGGGCGATTAAGCACAGCAGAATTGTAGCAGTGAGTTGCGAGTTCGAGACCGCAACAAGCTGTGAATGTTCTGCGATGTTGAGAATCGGCGACAGGCCTACGGCCTACTAAACGCTGAAACCGCTATTATAATATTATTATTATTATAATTATTAAAACTCGCTTCCGTTGGCAGGCAACATTTCCCTTCCACTAAGTCCCTGCCCCTCTCTTTCTAGCTTCCTCCCACGCTTCGAGCTTATTTTTTTCCTGCCGCCGCACTGCTTACACCTTCTGATAAGCTCCCTAACTTAGAAATCGTGCCTTAAGGATAGCTCTTGTTTTCATTTGTGCTTAGTGCAGTGTAGCCCAATAGCCGTAATAGATAAATTTAGAGACATTGCAAGGTTCTGTGACAATCGATTTGGCCACGCCTTAAGCTCACGTGATAACTTGCTCACTCATCAAATCGTGTCGTGAATTGTAAACTAACGTAGTTCTGTTTCGCAGTGATCTCATATCGGCGATCACGAATCATTCCTGCCTCTGCAACGCGTAAACTCAACATCTCGTGTCTGTGTAACGACGCTCATCTCGTGTCTGTGTAACGACTCATCTCATGTCTGAGTAACGACGCTCATCTCGTGTCTGTGTAACGACTCTTCGCATGTCTGTGTAACGACGCTCATCTCGTGTCTGTGTAACGACTCATCTCATGTCTGAGTAACGACGCTCATCTCGTGTCTGTGTAACGACTCTTCGCGTGTCTGTGTAACGACTCTTCGCGTGTCTGCGTAACGACTCTTCTCGTGTCTGTGTAACGACACTCATCTTATGCCTGTGCAACGACGTTCAGTGCTGCCTGTGTAACATCACCACGACAGCGTCACGTCACATCACGTCTCATCACGCACCACTTGTGTCACTGTTCACCACGCAACAACGCGTATCTCGCCGAGTCAAGCACCTCGTCTTCACTACTGGCTTGGTCTCCCAATTCCTCCGAGATCATCATCATCGAGCAGGTCACATGAGCTTAATCAAATAAAGTATTAATTATTAATGTTGTGTAATTAACCGATCAATTACACCAAGCCGCCCCTCAGCAATTATTCAGTCTGTCTTATTGAAATAACTCTAGTTACCTTGGCTTCAATATCCCCTGATAGGAATCAAATAATTATTAGACGTGGTCGGGTGCTTAACCCCCACATGGTGCTAGGCATTTCAAGTCTGAACATTTATTTTTTCATATCATTACCTAGTTTGTTCTTGAACGCGTTTATACTCGGAGCGTCAACGATGTAATCGGGAAGGCTGTTCCACATGTCGGTGATTCGAAGCGTGAAGAAATGTTGTCGCGTGGATGAGTTGCAACGCAGTTTTTTAGTTTATGGCCATGCCCCCTGGTGATAATTCTTGTTCCAAATTCTAGTAATCCTTCTGGGACCTTGTATAAACCATGAGTATACTTGTATACTTCAATGAGGTCCCCACGCAGACGTCGATAACAGAGACTTGGAAGCTTCATAATCTTTCTTCATAGGACTTGCTCTTCAAGCCTGGAATTATCCTTGTTGCACGTAAATGAACACTCTGTATCAAATTTTTGTCCTTATCAAGCCTCGGTGACCACACGGCGTTCACAAGCTTCGGGCGCACGACAGCAACAAACAACTGCTTCATCGTTTCTGCAGCTAGGAACTCGTAAGAGCGTCTGATCACTTCAAGCAGTTTGTTGGATTTATTAGCTTGCATTTCAACATGCTTGGAAAATTTCAGCTCCTTGTCAACATAAACTCCCAAATCATAGCTATGATATAGCAATGATATGGCTATGCTAGAGGTGGGCAGTAGCGCGCTATATGTAGCGGCCGCTACATTTTCAGTAGCGGTAGCGGCAGCGGCGCTACATTTAAGCAATTGTAGAAGTAGCGGTGGCGCCCGCTACATATTTAAGTAGTGATACGAGGTTTTGCCGCTACAGCGCTACCGCTACATTTATTGATAAAGCCTTTAGATTTCACTTAATAGTATTAAATATTATTTAAAAACCAGCATGATACATACATAATATAAATTACAGAATAAAACTGTACGAAAGATTTTGGTGTAATGTTGTCAACCTCAGCCTGTTACTAGTGTCAGCATGTTAGTTGTTACCAGAAGTGGACAGTAGTAACGCTACATGGCTACATTTTCAGTAGCGGTAGCGGTAGCGGCCGCTACATTTCAAAGTAGCGCTGCCCAGCTCTGGCTATATGATATAACAATGATATGGCTGTGATAGGGCAATGATATGGCTATGATATAGCTGTGGCATTGCTATGGCTGCTGGCTACGCCGACATTTCTCTTGAAAAACGCATTTTATTTGAATACCTACACCACTGATCCAAACAACAATCGAAGCAGCTCATCGTACAAAGAGTACGAGAGCACGATCAGAAACTGACCGACTGAACACGTACTTCATGGAGTATTCGAAGAATATTGTGTTGACATTTTTATTTGAAGGAACATTTCATTATCAATTTTGTTTGCATGTGTAGTCATTGTTTTCTACTCATGTGCCAGGGCTCTTGGTAAGCTAAGGTATCACACCCTTAACATGCAGTCTTGTTACGAATTGAAATGTTCATCTTGGGTTTTCATATATAACTCTGATCTCAGTCAAACATAATCAGTTTGGCGATAATTTAGATGATTCACACAAATTATTACCTGCACTCGACTGCATTTTAGTCATTTGTCATAGTGCACTCGAACTCCATATGCGTGAACTTATACGTTCACCAATCGCTCGTGTATGTTATTTTTAGTATATAATTACGCTATCTTATCTCTACTTACTGTGCTTATAAGAATTTACTGTATCACGGGCCTCGATCACGATTCCTAGCCGACTTATTTGCAAGCATGCCCGGTTCTTCATTTCAGTTTTTCGGTGAATTGGAAAAATTCTCTGTGCTTATAATTAGATTACGATAAAACTGTTTTGAGAAAGCAAAAAAAAAGGAAAATTAAGAACACGTTTAATCTATAGCCATTGTTTTACGCAGAACACTTTTGCCGAATAATATTTTAATCAAGATGACAAAAGCTGCAAACCCTTAACATTAAAACAATAAAAAACGACTTGTAGTTGTTTCAATTATTGCCTCCATTTTTTTCCAGGCGAAAAAATTAAACATGTAAAATTTAATAATGCAGAATGTCGTAATTTAAACTTCTAACAAGTTATGAATTTTATGCCCCACTATGAGGACTATCAGAATCTTCTGAAGAGCGCTTTGTATGTTTTCTGCCGAATTTTGGAGATAAAATGATAAGCTCACTTGATAATGTATAGCATTTAACTCGCGATTCGGAGTTGTCACAAGAGTTGTCTCATACAAAACGATGAGCACATTAGACTTGATCAAACACATAACATAATGTTGCATCGGCAACATTATGTTATGTATCATTTATAATTATTATAATCACTTTTCGAGCGATTTTTTACATATCCCTTCGGGCACTAAATGCTGAAACAACATTTAATCAACGTTGATTCAACCTAGCAATGTTTATTTCAACGTTCATTCAACGTCTTTTGCCTGATAAGATGTCTACAACTGGAACATTATTAAAGAAGGGATTATAGAGATAATAACCGAGAGTAGCATTTCCGTTAGCTGCCTGGTTGAGAGTGATGAGGGTATCTTTATTGAAGACTGAGCCTCCAGAGATGCCGGGAATTGGCCGGAGCAATATGGAAAAGGGAAGAGGGAAATTGGGGAAAAGACCATGTAATTCAGGGATCAATGGGTTGGGAACTGACAAAACAGGGAAGTCTACTTGAAATGGACTTGGCCATTCCGCAGGAGAGTTGTCAAAAATCGGCAACGGCAAAATTCTGCCCTGGCGGTTAGAAGGCTCCCTGGGTTTTCGTAACTCGTCCTCCGGTATGACGCGACCTCCTGCCAATAAACAGCAGGTTCCGACCACAAAGATCAACTGCGAAAGAAATTTAACATTAATAGCGATCAAATCAATTAAAAACGGCTAATATTTATGGCTAAGACAAACGAAGGCTGTTATTTTATGTTTCGTCGAGTAAATTGTGTGATCGATGTATTGAAAGTACGAAAGCTGTAGCTTCCAAAATTGCCTTATTGTGGGAAATGTGAATTGCTGCTCTAAAAATCCGGTGCTGCCTGAAAGAGGTTCGTATACAAGTGAGCATCGCTGCACCTCATCAAGATGCACAGCCACTGACATCATCTGACCACCTCTTCTTCCCTGGTCCATTCTGATGCTGACCGCATGCCGCCCATGTAGTGTTTTAGTTGGCTAACTATTTCGAACTTATACATGAGCGATGAGACTAGATGTGAAGGGATAAATAAACCTATAAAGAGATATGTTATCAAATTAAAGAGAGTATATAAAATCTGATAATTAGGCAAGAGCGAGCGCAAGCGAGCCCATTTTTTTGGGACAGAATCCACAGTTAAGGAGTGAATTTGCTCATTGATAATATATCAATCTACACATATTACAAAGAAATGGAAGTGTAGAATGTAAGCTAGCATTGTTGGGAAAAAGCATATTCTACATTATTCATCTATGAACTTACATCAACATCGCACGAATCCCGTGGAAGCGTGCGTGAATCAATATCTTTCCGGAGAGCAATATACTTCGTTGCATTGTATAATATACAGGGTTTGCAAATACAGATCAATGAGCTCTTAATTAGAAAACCCTTCAAAAAAACTCTCATGTAAAATTCTTAACATACAAGCTATAGTTCAGAAAAAGCAGACCCTCAAAAATGTATTACACACCCATGTTGCTAAATACCCTTTCAATTGCATGAGCAATATGAAGCACAAAGTATTTATATTAGCCCTCCAAATAATATCATGCTTATATACTAGTTTATTTATCAGCATTGCCATTACATTTCTCCATGGATTCTGACACTGATCTGACTTGAAACAGATTAACTCACTTGTTTCCACATGCTGCGTTGGGAAGTGACCGAGAGTAAATGTCATCAGCCTGGGTTCCAACCTTCTTAAGGAATCGGAGAAAGCTTAATTTCTATTCATCTCTGGCTGACTTGCCACTGTAATTCATCCAGAATCCAGGTCAACTTCTTGAGAAAGAGCTGCCATTTCTAAAGACAGATTTCACGTAAAAATATTCATAAAAAACAGTACGTCTCAGATTTTCCAATATACACGATTTAAATTATACACGATTATACACGACAATACACGATTTAAATTTTAAAATCCTGTTTGGAAATTAGCCTTCAAAGAATTGTATCAACCGAACTCGAATCTGCTGTATTCAACGATTAAATTTTAGACATCATCCAGAGTGATGCTACTCAATAATGACTATAAGTTCATGGTTCGTATGATTTATTTTTGGAATAAGCCCTATCATTTATCACAGTCGACTTTGTTGTGATTCTTCTAAACTTTGAGAATTCGACTTGATCTGATAATTAAAAATATCCAAATATCCTGAAAATTTTTAAATCACAGTTCAAAGTTCTTAATCTTTCATATATTTTGCCATTGTTTTTGTCAGGATATCATTTGAATGAAAGTTACCTACTGAGAGTGGATGTGAACTTTCCTTACTTTTGATTATGGTATTTATTTAGTTTCAATATTTCTAACATGATTCGGGATGGCAGAGTTCTGGATGACCTGATGGGAATTAATGTAATTCTCAAATGAAAGAAATAATCAATCCCAGGCCACTTTGCTTAGATTTCACCCTTTACTTGTTTTAAGTTTCAAAAGTACATTCATTCCAATTTCACGGCTTTCGTTACGCGGCACTTAATATATGTTGAATGTAAACTTATTTCGTCGTGGCCTTCTTTTAGGGAATTATTAAGGCGCGTAATTAAACGGTTTCTGAGAGAGCAACATTTTTACCTTATACGCGGAGGATAAATACCGACACACTTCATCAATGGGCAAGATATTCGACTAAGTTGTTGTGACTCTATTGCACTAACTACCAAATACTTGAGAGAAAATCGAGATAAGATCACCAGCACGAGATGGTTGCGTTATGCGACTAAGCAAGTGATAATAATAATGATGTTTACTGCCATAAGTGGGCAAATAATGGAAGCGTTTAGAATGTGAGCGCCCATGAAAATCTTAACACTCAAACATATTCTAGCATGTGAAAATTTGTAGCTCATAACTCATCATAAGTATGATTGACAAACACAACTTTTTAAACATCTTTTCTGCGATGCATTATAAAGCCATAAAAGTCAAGTTCTGTTGCCTTCGCAATTATTTCACTTTTTCTTCACGCAACGTTATATAGGTAGCCTTAACCTTAAGTTTATGTTCTTGAGTTCTGTATGCTCATAAACTTAACCTTATCTATACTCATAGTTTTGCATCCTCATGAATTTAACCTCGTGTTCTGCATGCTCATAAGTTCTGTATACTCATACACATGAAATTTAGCTCATGTTCTGTGAGCAGTCCATAACGATATTAATAGACCAATTTTTTATAATTTGCCCAAATTATATATTACTATAACGGCATGTAAATTGAGGCAGAATAGACGCCTTTTTTAAGGATTTTCATCACATAAGTTGTTTTTTAACCTCTTCATATAATATTTAGTTTTTTCGCACGTTAATATATCAATATCGAGGTTAAATGTTTTCAGCTGGGTATCGTCTACACATAATTAAGAGTTATGTCGAGTTTTTTAAGCCATCATTGTGCTTTAGAGCGCGAAGACTGAGTCCATTATTTTTACTCCACGCATAAGTCAACTTATAAAACATCTAATATTTTATTATAGCAGTGAAATAGATGCCCGTTTATGCCAATAATCATTGCACACGCATTCCGAATATTTTCTTATCAGTTAAAATGGTTAATGTAGACATTTTCGCCTGTGATTAGTATTATAATGTCAGGGAAAGCTAGTTTATTTTAGAACGTTAATTCCTTGTGTACATGTTCTACTGCAGGCAGTTTTAACTTGCATTCATCTGAATTATTGCAGTTCTCTCAGTATAGATGATAGAAAGTGTGCCTCATGCAGAGAAAAGGTTTTTAACAATCACGAATACCATTCCACTGCCTACGTTGGAATGAAAAAAAGCTATGTAGAACATTTTGTTCAGCGTTAAACTGATATACTATTTTTATAAAAAAGTGTAAACATTTATACATTTTCCTAAAGTTATTATTTATAATGAACTTTTTCTGAAAATCCAGCTAATGATCGTCACTGAAAATTACTTAATTAATTAATTGCTCTTCATTAATATCCTTATTTAGCTTTAGCTTCATTTTTCCAACTTTATTATATACATGATGATTAACTTAGCTAGAGTGAGACGACCACGTATAATGGGGTGCATTCCACTGAGAAATTCATTGCTGTCACTATATTTTGATCAGACATTCTGATGATCAGTTTCTGACTTGCGAATTTTAGAGTCCCTGTATATTTTTAAGCTAAAGCCTAGTTTAAATGCCGCCTTCAGTTCATCTCCCCTCGGAATTGTAAATAGATAGTTTTATTTGCTCATGTTTATTTAGTTTTTATTTGACGAATTAGGTTTTAATATCTTCAATGTGAATTTCAGTCTGCTAAGTGTTTTTACTTGCGTTTCAGTTTTTGAACTGACGATGGAGCTGGACTCCAAATTAAGCGTTTTCTCTCATAAGAAATAGTGGATCTTTTGACTGTTGTATTTGTTTTTTAATTCCTGATAAACTTGCGATTTTAGCAATCAAGTGATCTCAATAAAAATAGTTTTGAGCTCACCAACTCACTTTTAACACAGAATTTGTTCTAGAATGTTTTGCTATTCAACCACAAAATGAATATTTTATTATTTATGTTTCCACTAGTCGCACGCGCTGAGGCTCCAGTCACGCCCCGTGTTTAATCCGGTATCTTAAATATACCTTTGCAGTACTATAGATGAATTTCTGTAATATAAAATGATCTTGAACTTCAACTCATTTGTTGCGTCATATCTCCTACAGAAATGGCAAGGTTTTAAGCTCTAACTCAATTATTGCGTAACATCTACTACAGAAATGGCAGTGTTTTAAGCTCCAAATCATGCGTCACATCTCCTTCAGAAATGGCAGGGTTTTGACGTTTAAATTTTTCGTTGCATCAGATCCTCGAAGTTTTAATTTTTAATTTAAATTTTTATTATTATAATTGATGGTTTCAACACGAGATTTAAATGTCGTAAATGCTATCGTATCTAGGCTATTCTCATTTAGGTTTGAAGCTCAAAATATTAAAAAAAAATATTTTTATAAGCCAGTTTATTAACGGCGGGCACAATCGATGACTGATGAGTGGCTTCAAGGAAATTTAGATACTAGGCATTCCATGCAGGGCTGATTGGTGTTAAAAATTGGTTGTCCATGGCCGCTCTTCCCCGCTAGTGAAGAAAAAATCATTTAATAATAGTTTGGCTGAAAATATCATGTAGATTAGCTCTCTGAGTCATCAGTGGTGGTGTTCATGAGAGCTATGTGGATTTTTTGAGAAGTTGTAATTGTTGAATGGGATAGATGTTTTTTTTTTGTAGAACATTTTTCGCTAATGTGTGGTGCCATCTCGTATCTGGATAGCTTTTCAGAAACATCTTCTCAACTGCGATTGCCTCATATTCAAATTTGAAAAGCCATATAGTTCAGAGAAAACTTAACTTATGAATTTGCTGATGTTCTGAAGTTTTCTTCAATTCTCGTTAAAAAATTAAACAATGAGCGAGTAAATATAATCAAAACGGGAATGATGTCCATGCGACAACATTTCTTATCGCTTCGAGTCACCGATATGTGGAACAGCCTCCCTGATAGCATCGTTGACGCTCCGAGTATGAACATCTTCAAAAACAGACTATATAGACGAAGCTATGCAGGAGCACATGTTCAGTCTTAAAATGAATAGCAAATTACGGGCCAGGCAATAAGTCCAGCAGCTATCTCAATCAATCGTCAGCTATGGAAAGATCGGGTTCCAAAGGCCGGATCCCTTGTGAATCAAGTCACGAAAAATTCAAGAATCGGCAACAGGCCATGGGCCTATTTCTTCACCGCCGACACTTCTTTTCTATTCTTCTCCTTCTACAAAGCATTTAGTACACTAATTAAACTTCAGTTGACAGAATGATTTAAAATTCGTTGAATATTCAAAGGTTAACATCGAATTGTGTCTGCTGCTATGCCCCAAAATTTATTCTGAAGTAAAGCATTTCAAACGTTCATGTCAGGTACGTGGATCGAAGAAATTCAATCAGGAAAAGAATATTTATTAATCGATGCAAAACATAAATAATAAATAAAAATTGAATTTTTAATATACATTTTCAATTAAAAACAATTTATTGTTCTCGAAGTCCTCAAAGTACAGATGTTCCTTTTTTATTGTAATTTGTAGTCTGAGATTATTCTGTTTGATGGTCAATGTTCTCAAGAACCATTTCTAAAAGAGATAAAATTTGTTTCCCAACAGTAAATTCGACGCACTTCAATCATTAGTTTTGGGCATCGCCATTTTCTTCCAGGAAGTCAAGATTTCAGAGCTATAATTTTATGGCTACTTTATCTCATGATGTTTTGTATTTTAATTTTTATTTTTTAAATTGACAAGGGTTTATTGTTCACAGTACATTCAATATACAATTACGTTGTTAAAGTAATTAGTTAATGAAAACTGCTTTAAAGGCTGGAAACTTGAACCTCTTGTATTCTCAACAATTGCTTTCAAGTTTTATCCTTTTCTATGATAGTGATAAAATACTTTTCGAATTGAAGTACATATTGTGATCAAAGGAATTCGATTTTTACTTCCATTCTTCCACGTGACAATAATTTCCTCAGCGCTACGTCAATGCCGCATAAGTCATGATGATCAGCACGATCATCACGAACTGTAATAAAATGGTACTTTCAGTGCAAAAAATATCTGGTAAAGTGTTAAGGATAGCATGTTAAAGTGATATAGATGACCAACTGAATTGATAATTATCTTCAAAACTGAAGAAAAACATCTAATGCACAGTAATTAAAAATCCTAAATAGAACAGGATAAATCTAGACTAATGCTGAAAAGAAGATCTGAATAACATAAATGAAGTCGATTTTTTACAGCAAAATTCCCACAAATCTCACAATTTGGATCAGTATATTATTTTATTAAGAAATATTCTCACAAATTAAGCCAGTTCTTAACATGCCTCAAAATTCTTACAATGTTAGCCTGAAATTATTTTATTATCGACGGAGTTTTAAATGTTTCTCTGGAGTCTGATGGATAAGACTGAGGGAGTATCCCGTTGCTGGACTGTGGCGGGACCAGAGACTGGGTTAGGCAGCGCCGCGCCGCGATGTCGAAGAGGTGTTTCGTCATCCCCTCTGGAGGCCGTCGATTTGGAGTTGAACTTGGAGTTCTCGCGCTCCTGGAGCGGTAAGGGAGTGGCGGTCTCCTGAATTGGGATGGCAAGAGAACGAAGCTTTGAAGATAATATAACCATTAGATTTCAAATATGACAAAACATATTAATAGTTTGTACACAAAACAAATTATACTAAACAACCTAAACTGACTATCTGAACGTTAAACTGACCTGGGATTGATACCGATTTTTTTTGGACGCTGGATCAGATCCGCTGCCTTCTTGGCTTGGATTCGGGATCCTAGATGACTGCTGATCTGTTTTTTCTTTTGATTTTAATTGGAATTTACTGCTGCTGATGGGGGAGGATTCGACATTTTGTTTCATATTTTCGGTTGCGGGAGGGTGATTTGAATCTATTTTCAAAGTAGTTTGGGGCGTTTCATCCTGATTTTTGACAGTCGTAGTTTCCAGTTGTCCAGACTGAGAACTTACTGCGTTAAATAATTCTTGTTGTAGGGTCTGAAGTGCCGAGTTGGTTAACGGATTTGATGGAATATTAGGAAGTTGGAGACCAGCAGTTTGAAGTGGACTTTGTGCGTTGAAAAAAGGATTGGTGAATTCATTTGAGAAAGAATTAGATGGAAGATACATTGATTGAAAATACGATTCAAGATTCGGCTGCATAAGTGATTGCAAGTTTGGTTCGAGAAAGGAATTGGACAGCAATTGAGAAGAGGCAGATTGTCTACTAAGAGCATTTTGTTGGAGCAAACTTATCCCATAGATTTTTTGCAAAGTATCCAGAAACTCTTGAGCAGAATCCGGGCCGTTCGTTTCATCTCGTCCTTGCTTTGTTTTATTCAAAATCCCGTTGATTGACACGAGACCAGTAAGCGGTGTAAAGAGGTACACACCTTGACCGGGTTGACCTAATCCTCTAGTTTTATTCAACACATTAAAGAATGGGGATGATGAGGTTATCGATGGATAAAGGTCAATCAGATTCTGTAAGCCTGGGATAATATCATTAAAGGTTACTCCATTCAGTGACGGGAAAAATGGGAATATTCCTCCGGTATTTAAACCCCCAAGTCCACCTAAACCCCTAAGTCCTAAACCTCCAAAACCCGGAAGTCCACTTAAGCCACCTAATCCGGGTAAAGTTGCTAAAGAAGGCAGGAAATTGTTTGATAGACCATTTAGCGGCTGAAATATGTTTGAAGGCATGGCTGGATTAATCTTGGAGTGCGCCGATTCACCCATTGGGAATTGCATTTCTAAGTTTTCTCCTTCAGCGTCTCGTCTTCCAGCATGCGCCTTCAGCGGAAGTAGATTACTTTTTCCTTTTCCATTATCGTATATAATCATAGGAAACAAAAACCGCTCTTGCCTGTCATTGGACGTTTTAGCATCCTTGCTTCCAACTTTAGCTTCATTTGGAATCCTTTCTATTGGTGCTCCTAAGATCACCGTAGCGCTCAGTAGCTGGAGGAGTATCGCCTGTGAAAACAAGAAGGTGTAAACTTAATACAGAACATCAAAAAACGAAGACATGCCAGCATTACGAATATCTCTTATATGAATATCAATCATGAACACAAGCAGGGTTGAACGTGCACTTGAATAATACATGAGATCGCAATTATATAAGGCTTATTTCGTTTAGGATCTAGCGTATAAAATAACCTCTCGATGTTGTTCACATGCATGGAAAGGCTAAACATATAACAGAATATTCCTTTAGATTAGAGGAAAGTGGGACGTTTCGATAACATCTCATCTCACCGAAAAATTATTAGACTTTGCACAGTATCACTTTAAAAGTATATTAAAAATGAGCACTCAAGCTTTGCTCAAAATCAGTTGATTGGCGGTTTTATTGGGAAAGTTTTCTGCATACATTTTGATAATCCATTTAAAAAAGGCAAAGCAAAATGGATTTATCTTAATTTTCATGTTTTAAACTCAGCTTCACCCTAAAATGGTATTGTATGCGCAGTATTGTATCGAGTTAGGTAATATTAACAAAATCAACGGATATGTACGTAACAAAATCAACAGCTGTAACCATAACGCACCTGAAGCATCATCCTTCCTGGTCGAGTTTAGTTCCAAAAATGACGGCTTTGTTGTCCACAAACCAAATCCTCAATGATATACAATAGATTCGCGGTGCCCCAAATACCGTTAGTCGTTCGTTGTACATTGAATACAAATCAATAACTTGTGCACGCGTTGCCTCTCTTGCTCAACTTTTTACAGCCTCCTGTTATGTTAGAAGATAACACTGATTACACTATTCCATGACGAGTACTGAATTTAATCGCATAGCCCAGTTCCATCAAAGAGGGAATTTTATTATAATTGTATTGACCGTTTTGGTTCATAACAGAATTAATTTCTAGCTAAGAGATCATTAAACTACGCATATATTTGGTGAAAAAGAAACTTAATCATTATTGCACCAATTATTGACTTGCTTTCTAAACTAACGTACTATAAAACAGCTTTGATGCCAAATGACATCAACGACATCCGTCCCCGCCACGGCACGACCGTAAAGGTTCCGCTATGATCAATATCCCGAAACGGAGGTGGGTACCGTCGGGCGGGACATGTCGCGGTTGCATTCACGCGAACTTTTTCGATAAATAAGAACTTGAGCGCCGGCTGAACCGAGTAAACATCGAGGTGCCTTTAGCTTTAGCATAATTTAATGCAAATACGCCGTAAGAAACATCAGGTCGGCAGTTCCAAATCGATGCGTTTTCTTATGTGTATATCATGGAAGTTAGAAATGAACTGATTCGAAAGCAGGCTCTACCAAAATTGTGAACCCGTTACAACATAATACTTTATTTAGATAAGTAATAGATATTTTTCGGTTTAGTTGTCCGTGAGAATCACAAACAGCTAGCTGTCAGATGTTTCCTTTGTAACGTGCTTCCCTTTTTTGAGGATGTTGAAACCTTTGGCAAACAAAATCGTTTGTTGTAATCTAACATTCTTTTTCTTGTTTATTTCTACGATCGATTGAACACTTTTTCACCCAACGCGCGCATCAATTGAGTTATGAACCAGGTACAATATTTCTTGATATTTTTGATTGAATATTTTTTCAATTTGTCAATAAGTTAATGCATTCCTTCATTGTATTTCTTCGTTAAAACTTCTACTAGAAATTGTAGCTAAAGAAGAAATTCGAGCTTCTGTCAGCGATCTGCGGCTGACATGCAAATGACACTCTATTGTCACCCGTCTTTTCCGTCTCAGTCGTGGCTGCAAGAAAAGACAGAGAAAGGAGATATCGTTCTTTCTAGTGCAGTTATGCTTTTCTTTCGCTAAAGGTACAACGAACTTTCAATTTCCTCACATTTTTGCTCGTTAAGGTACTTCTTAATATGTGAATTTGAGAAGTTTTTGCTCGTTACGGTTCTTCTCTATGCACTATCATATATTAATTACACATTACACTTTTCAATATACTATTATGTATGAACTACGCTTTACACTTCTCAAAACATTTTTAGGAATTAACTGAACTTCACTCTTCCAGTACGGTACTATGAGTTATTTACGCACCACACTTCTCAGTACACTACTGCAAGTATTAACTACATACCACACATTCAAATGCACTGCTAAGTGCCAAATGTATTGCATGCATTCAACGTACCTGAGTGGTCGATGAAATAAAGAAGTTAGCCCGTAGATGTAGCAGCACGGAGGGTCAAAGCGATTAGCTCAAGCACCATTTGTTTGCCGAGGCGGACAGTCGCATTTGGGAAGGCGAATCAATCCGCGACTTCCATTATAGGATGACCCTCTTTTGTGCTCTGTGGGATGCTATAGAAACATCACCATGTCCCTCACCAGCGATGTCCTTAGATCAAAAGCAGCACTAGGATGTCAAAACTTGTTAGGATGATACTGAGTTCGATGAGGATCCTAAGTTTAAAGATGATCATACGTTAAAATATTGGAACTCACGATGGTGTTGTTCACTGATGGAAAGACTTAAGGGCTTTCATAGTCTTATGTCCTACTTCCATGACCTTTCTGTATGACATTTGGTTAAAAATTAGGAATAAATTTCATTTAGGTAGATGAAGTTTACTCTAAAATAGCCTCTAATCGTCTACTCCTGTAATGGCAATCAATTAATCGGAACCCGAGCGGGATCACTCAGACATTTTTAGAGCCGGTCAAGAACTCATGTTTATGTATGGCACTAAAGGATCGCTAGAATAACTCTTTTCTTAATTCGGCTGTGGATCTTCTAAAGTAAACTCTAATCGGCCTCGCTGATGAATACAAATTATGACAAGAATTAGAAATGTGTAAATCAAAACGAAATTGGAAGCCCGCATGATTTCCAGTGTTACTGAAATAAAATATGTAACGATCCCGTTATAAATTGAAACCATTCTCGACCGTCCAAACGTAGAGCAATGTACTCTGATAGAATAACGGTTACTGAAGAGGTGCGTGATGTGCATCATTTGGTAGCCGACCTACAATTGTGTGAAGATTTCCTGACCTGGAATTTTGTACGGCAGAGACGTGCTGCTCATGCAGCTGAGCCTGATGCTTCAGCGGTTGGTGTGACAATTATTATTGACAATCGCTCACCCACATTATACACTGACCCATTTCAGACGGTAACATTTTTTACATAGACAAATGTTTAGGCATTTACTAAATCCCTAAATGAATACGAGTTGAACGGTAAATGTGCAATTTTAAAATAGTTCAAATAACTCAATGTTCAAATTCAATGAAATAATTACTCTACCACATGATGAACGATAACGAAGAATTAACTGATCGCTGATTAATCTCAAATTACTACTGCGCACTTGTGACGACATACTTCGACATAGTTTGAAAACATGAAAGCAATTGTCATCATTTCAGCATTCAAATTCATTCAAATCACTAAATTGTTCGCCTCAAGCATGCAGTTGAGCTCAAAAACTTTACTGGTTCAAGTGCAGTAGCCTCCAAATGAGCTCTTGAATCTTGCTGCTTTATTCTTTTCTGTATTATTTTCAAAAATTACGCCTGAATTGAAATGAAGATTTGCATGATTGCCGCTTTTGAGCTTGTTCTTGTTACGTGAAAGATGTTATTTGCTGCGACGCCGACAAGCGTTGGCTGCATGACGAGTGACATCGGTCGTGGACTGGGCGGAGGAGTCCTTACCTCTTTTGATGCACGTTGCATATTTCGATCTCAAACTCCGCACACTTTTGCTGCTATTAATTACATATTGGGGATTATTATTATTGAGATCATTGATATGGAGAAATTCTAACTTTTTTTGAGCTGTTTGCGATTCCGAGTCTTTCAAATAAACAAATGTCTGCGCGGCCGCAGATCCGACGGCGAAGCTTTCCAAACTACTGTTATTGCTCGTAGGACTTGATGACCGAATAACAGGCCTGAGAATTGTGAAATTGCGCGTGAGGCAGTAGAGCCAATACTAATTCAGATCAGAACCGAGTTATTTTGATATTTAATAAAAATTCTGACTAGATTATTCCAACGTTGCCAACACTCTCTGCACTGCGGTTTGTTCAGAGATACAATTCTTCATCGTCGATTGTAACGCCAGAGGCCAGAATTCTCTGCATTTCATGTCTTTCGTGATTCCAGTTTCTATGACCATTTTCAGCATACATGTTCCGTAAGTATACCTAAGGCCTGGGCGTGAGGGTCGTGTGGACGAGTAATGCTAACACTACTATAAGGCATGGGCGTGAGGGTCGTATGGCCGAGTAATGCTAACACTTGATATTCCGGATTCCGGACCCGCACTCCCAGCACACCTGCTCATTACGATTGTGATGATATTCCGTACCCGCACTCCCAGCATACCGGCTCATCACGATTGTGATGATATTCTGCAAATTGGTGCAATGGAAGACGTGGCCTCTCGAAGGCTTTGCGAATCCTGATCACCATTCCGGAACGGGGCACAATCTCCATCCATTTTAATCGCACGCACTTCAAAGCTCGCGGTTCTTTTCAGAAGTGCAGAGGCCGCCTCGGCTCAGATTGGATGTACATTACATATCGCCTATGATTTTAGGCCTACAAAGTGACGTGGCTTAGCTTGCAAAGTGACGCTGATGTTGTGTAGAGAAATCCTAAAGCTTTCCTCGATTCCTGCCGAATGCAGGAATAATTTTAAATGCGTCTGCAATTCCAGGCGCTTTCATCCTGTCGTTGTTTGTATTTTATCTAGGATCATGTTAGTCATAGTGAATCCGAGCAATGATTGCTACATTTTCTGTTAAGATCATTTGAGTTAAAATAATTTCAAATGTAATGTTGTGCGAATTGAGAGGACTTGTAATTCCAGCTTGAATGAAAAAGTTAAGATATTTTCTATTGTACCTAGTTTAAATTCGTCAAGTTTGATCATTGTTCGAAACTTCTACACGAAAAATTATCCGTTTATATCGTTGCTAAAATAACGCCAGAAATTAATAATTCAGAGTGAAGCTCTATTAAGCCAACATAGATAATAAATATTCAAAATAGCATTCATGCAGCATCAAAATTTATCGATTCGTAATTTTAACTTTATATTAGAATAAATTTTCCCAAAGCTATTGGAATCAAACATGAGCACCAAACACAGAGTAACCTCAGTCTAATTCGTGTTTGACGTGAAGAACAAAATTTAATTGTAAACTGAAAACTTGTCGTGAACAAAATAAAATTGTATTCGATACCTCCATGTGACGACTCGGGTTTGTATCTTTATATTTCTGGTATCGATTGCTCGAGGGCCCAGCAATACAATTAGATGAGCATTTCCGCCCAGTGCTTTCCTAGAGATTACGGCCTCGGTAGCGCGGTGTTGCCCGACTGCCAGAGGTTTCCCCCAACATCTATGTTGCGATGTTGTGTGGCAGCGCAGTGTTGCCAGACTGCCGGTCAAGCTGGAGGTTCCCCCAACATCTATGTTGCGATGTTGTGTGGCAGCGCAGTGTTGCCAGACTGCCGGTCAAGCTGGAGGTTCCCCCAACATCTATGTTGCGATGTTGTGTGGCAGCGCAGTGTTGCCAGACTGCCGGTCAAGCTGGAGGTTCCCCCAACATCTATGTTGCGATGTTGTGTGGCAGCGCAGTGTTGCCAGACTGCCGGTCAAGCTGGAGGTTCCCCCAACATCTATGTTGCGATGTTGTGTGGCAGCGCAGTGTTGCCAGACTGCCGGTCAAGCTGGAGGTTCCCCCAACATCTATGTTGCGATGTTGTGTGGCAGCGCAGTGTTGCCAGACTGCCGGTCAAGCTGGAGGTTCCCCCAACATCTATGTTGCGATGTTGTGTGGCAGCGCAGTGTTGCCAGACTGCCGGTCAAGCTGGAGGTTCCCCCAACATCTATGTTGCGATGTTGTGTGGCAGCGCAGTGTTGCCAGACTGCCGGTCAAGCTGGAGGTTCCCCCAACATCTATGTTGCGATGTTGTGTGGCAGCGCAGTGTTGCCAGACTGCCGGTCAAGCTGGAGGTTCCCCCAACATCTATGTTGCGATGTTGTGTGGCAGCGCAGTGTTGCCAGACTGCCGGTCAAGCTGGAGGTTCCCCCAACATCTATGTTGCGATGTTGTGTGGCAGCGCAGTGTTGCCAGACTGCCGGTCAAGCTGGAGGTTCCCCCAACATCTATGTTGCGATGTTGTGTGGCAGCGCAGTGTTGCCAGACTGCCGGTCAAGCTGGAGGTTCCCCCAACATCTATGTTGCGATGTTGTGTGGCAGCGCAGTGTTGCCAGACTGCCGGTCAAGCTGGAGGTTCCCCCAACATCTATGTTGCGATGTTGTGTGGCAGCGCAGTGTTGCCAGACTGCCGGTCAAGCTGGAGGTTCCCCCAACATCTATGTTGCGATGTTGTGTGGCAGCGCAGTGTTGCCAGACTGCCGGTCAAGCTGGAGGTTCCCCCAACATCTATGTTGCGATGTTGTGTGGCAGCGCAGTGTTGCCAGACTGCCGGTCAAGCTNCTCTACTCCCCCAGCGCTCGCTCTACTCCCCCAGCGCTCGCTCTACTCCCCCAGCCTCGCTCTACTCCCCTGCGCTCGCTCTACTCCCCTGCGCTCGCTCTACTCCCCCAGCGCTCGTTCTACTCCCCTGCGCTCGCTCTACTCCCCCAGCGCTCGCTCTACTCCCCCAGCCTCTGTGTCCCATTCACCTTCATTCTTTATTATTCTTTTAATGTCATTCTGCTAGGGAAGAACCGCAAAGTTCATAGATAAAACAAATTAATTTCCTATAGATATTACCATTCAAATATCATACCTCGTATTTAATCTTCCAAATAACGGCATATTCTTGTCAAGTCCGTCCGTGGCACGAGACCTGCCCAATCACCGCACATCTCAGGCGCGCCAATTACTCCACGCGCACAATAATGCCTCCTTCATTAGCGCCCCACGCGCCCGGCAGCCCCAGGCTGGGGTCTCGTCTTTCCCTTCATAGGAGGATGCTCTACGTCTTCGACTTTAATATACTCGTATTTTAATGCTAGTATTAAATTCATAGTATTTGATATCCCGGCCAGACGGGGAAGGTTCTACCTACGACACGCAGAAGACCTTTAATATACTCGTATTTTAATGCTAGTATTAAATTCATAGTATTGCTATAGGGCCGGTCTGCCCCTTCCAAGATAGATGCTCTAAGTCATCGACTTTAAAATATTTTAATAAACGAGTAGTATTGAATGTTATACGAATAGTATTAAATTATTGTTTATTAGCATGAGGGCATGGCATTTGATTTTTACGAATGTGATTCTAATAAATTAGACGAAGCATCTTCCTCAAGCGGCCGAGTGGTAGCCAGCGTCTCTAAAGAGTCGCTTGAATTTAACACACTTAACAAATTCAACAAAAGTCTTCATGATTTGATAAGGGCAGCAGTGATCTGGTATCTCAGGTATTATGTGTTACGAGTAATTTTGTGTTTTTAAAATGTAATAAATGCTATGATTGTTCGCAAAAATAATTATGACTGGGTTAAAGAACTAAATATTATAGAGAATTAAATACTTGAATTTGATACAGTTAAATTTCTTCGAAAACTCACATTATCAGTCACATTCCTTACATTAGAGGAATGACTGGATGGTATTAATTTAATATGCATTTTATCCATAATGACTCGTATCTTACCGTAAATCCTAAGACTATTCGGCTATTACTGAGGTTTATATAGGAATATTTCAGAGCTCTACTTATTGATAGAACTATTGATGGCCTTCATTATTTATTGGCTCTTAAAAAACATGATTTTTTTTCGTTTATGGACAGGCACACAATCTTGTGACTGGTGAGGTGTAAACTCTAGAGGAGCAGAATAAAACGTAGGAGAAGCGACGTAGCATGCATTATATTTACTGATATGTTAAATCGGTTACATAGTTAGAATTAAAAAACGATTGGAATGCAATCATTTACAGATAAGCCGAATATAGAAAATATCAAAACTTTTGAACTGGGACGATGTTCAAAATTGATTCATATCGTCCACCGATTGATAAATATCGTTTATAATGAAAGTTACTGAAAGTTGTTGGTCATCGGTGGCATCAATTCTTACTGATTTGAAATTGTACCAAGTATACGTTCCTATCATATAAATTAAAACGAAAATATATTTGGGGCAATAGGATTTAAAATATATTTTCAGAATTCTTTATGTAAGCAAGAGTGCGTTAGGCCGATCTGACAACGTGAGAAGACTCGTGTCGTAGTATGTATAGAGCGAAATGAACAATCTCCATATCATCGAAGCATTCATTTCCATCAAAGAAACATAAATAAAAATTCGTGAATAACGTTTAATATGGAACATTTAACTCAATCTAATTACAAAAACACGAACCAGACTGCACGAAAGTTATTTTTTATACATTTATGAAGGAATTTTTCATCTTATGCACAGCCTAAGATACAGCGAACTTGTCTAATATCTACATCGCAAAGACACGAGCACTTTCAATACACTTGAAGCTCCCTAAATGATATTACTCAAGTTTCTAGAAACAGTCAATAGTTTCCCAGTCATGAAATATATTGCCTATTTTCTTCTCAGTCTACCCTAGAAATTATACATACTTGTATAATTTTTAGGAAATACGACGCGATATTAGTGAAACGTGAAGAGCTGTTCCTAAAGTAGGAAATAATATCTGAACATATTAATAAGGTGTTAAAGAATACAAATAATTCCATTAAATAAACAATGAGCAACTTTAGATACAATGAGCCCTATAATGATTTCTTAGAAATAACTATTGAAACTTCCAAATTACGTGAAAGAAACGTTAAAAAACTGTGTTACCTAATGTCTGTTTAGCGCCGAGAACAAGACGATTAATATATGATGCTAATTGGCTAGCATACCCTATAAATAGATTTCCAAATGGTTATAGTTAATTCATAAATATATACACAATCATGCATTATGCACCGTATGATATGGTTACGCGTGTGATTATAAATACCTAGACATATGACAAGCATGAGCAATTGTTTTGCGAGGAATGCCAATGACCGTTAATTCTTACAATCAACTATCACCAGATGGAATATATATATAGAAGCTGTCTGGTAATCGAATTATGTTTTTAAAATATGATAAACTTTCAATGAATTTGTCTCTAGAAACGCTAGCTGAAAGCTAGAGCGATTCATCCATCGAATCTGCGAGATGCAGTAGAATTTATAATCGATTTGATACTAAATCGGCGTGGTGCCGACGCCATGAGGAAGCCAAACACTTTTCTATTCTTCATTCCAACAATGATTCGCAAAGTACAGATTACATTTTGCAAGTTTCCTACACCCCATATTAAATATTGACTCGGACATGCCTCTGAAAATAGCAACAGAAGCAATAGCAACAATTCGTAACCATGGGGTCGTGGTCTGGAGCTGCTGCCAGCGATGCTCGAGAAGATGGATGGGAAGGAAGATTGTCGCGTGGGGATGGCGTTGCTGCGTATTTTGCCAGCGTTGTTGAAGAGGCCCATTTGGTTGAGGTTGAGGCCTCCCTTCCTGTACACGTCCTGACGCTTGTGATCGTCCAGCGTGTAGAGTGTAGAGTCGCGGTCAAGGTTGGGGACGCGTTCTGGTCCCGTCGTCTCATCGTAGTCGAGGGGCTGCGAGGGCCCTGTATGAAAGTTGACCAAAGATTTTATTCTCAGGAATAGTTAATCAAAAATATTTATCATTCAGGTATATGTCTGACAAATCCTAAGTGGAGTTGCTTCCGTGATATAGTGAGATTAATCATATGCAAATAATTTTGAAAATTTAGGTAATCTTACTGGTAGTTGGGTATCGATGCTTTTCAAGCTTGTTTTGATTTTTTCCCACTCGCACTTTAGAAATGTAAAATAATATAATCGAAAAGAAAGTTCATACTCACCTCCTGTTACATCTGTCGTGCCTTTCAAAGCTTTCTCGGAACGCGGAATTTCGATCTCTGTAAAATGATACTTTATTTTGATTTAATTTTCTGTGATATGTATCGAAGATATTTGAAACGTTCAAAAAGTTTAATCTTGAAAGTAAATTTCAATATAGTACAAGACGTTTTTACTCATCACAATCTATATTGTTTCTTCACTATTATAAGCAATAAAAATAGAAAATTGCTTTTTAAACAAAACGTAAGAAAGATTTAACGACATGGACAGTAATTTAATTAACGATAATGTCCAACAAAACAAGATGCACACTTACAATGTGATAGTTGATATAAGATAACTTAAGGTTTTTTGTAACAAAAATGGGTTTATTTTCTTGCAGACGCATTCAATAGTACATAATATCAACTTAATGATGGCACACTGGCTGAACAACCTTAACTATTATGTTTTTAATACTACATATGTTACTTTATCTTTGCTTTATTTTGTTTCGGTGTCTTATCATCTCTTTTAATTAGTCTAAGTCGCTAATCGTAATTTGATGTCCGTAATTTGATGTCCGTCCTCAAAGTGTAATTTGATGTTTGAGGTTCAAAACACCGGAACAAAGGAAACTCTATAGGGCGACGCGGATTTATTCGGGTTAACTAGGCTGCGGTAAACCCGAGTTATTTGAATTAACTCGGCTACAGTTAAGTTATTCAGGGGAGTTAACTTGCTACTCAGTAATTATCAACCCTGACATTGTAATCTAATATATCTCTGGCAGACTGTGGAATATTATATGAGTAATTTCATACATTCGTATACGATAACTAATTTTAAATAATTTCCATACAAAGAAAAGACGCGTTGCCTACGAAAGGGATAAGTTCGCCCTGGCGACGATGACGAGTTTGTCGCTAAGTTCTTTGCTCATTAGAGAGAGCGAATTCGAGCGAGGCGTTTCATCAAGATTATTGACTCGTCGCAACTTTCTTTGGGAAGCCATGAGGTGCCTTTAGAGTGGATAATCAATGCCCGCTGTACTGAACGTCCCACAGAATGACTGCGTGAGAGGAAAATCAATGTTGCTCCCATTTAGAGATTTCGTTCTGCTCGGACAAAAGGGTATAATGGATTCTTATTTTGCTGAACATCCTAGAGAAATTGAAGAATTTGGGTCAATTCAATTCACTTCAAGTACGTACCAATTGGGGAGTACATGATTTGAGATTAGATTACTACCGTGTTTAATATCGCTCAGGTACGAGAGCGTTGTCGCATATATTCTTTAATTGAAAAGCTCATTGTTCGGAGGATCCGTTGTCTTTGTTTACCTTTAACAACGGCTTGAATGCTGCACATGCCATTAAATTACCCACTTCCAACTCTGTCATCTTAATAGGAATATATTAACGCAGCAATTGGTAGTTCACAGTTACAGTTCTCGCACAGTGATTTATATGGAATGAGTTGTGGTACTCATTGAATTGGGCCGTTATCAGCTTGTCTCTTGCTTGTTTTTGGTCAGGGTCTGAACCCAATTCAACTCGAAGCGAAATCTCAAACTGAGCTAAAATACTGAATACTTTTAACTGGTAATGGAAAACTCTTCATTTAGATTCTTGTTACCAGCTCTGTATTGGACTTAAATTTTATTTAAACAAACTGCAGCTCTTTTGCTCAAAGAGTATTGTCAATAAGTAGGATAAAGATCAGGTAATTGATAAATCAGGCGCAGTATTCCCGCAACCTCGTCATGATGAAAGAAAGTTTGAATATCTCGACAATGCATGCACGTAGTTTAGTATATGTATCCAATATTGCTGCTGAATGAGGTCATGTGTAGGGAACTCCTGCAAATTAGCCATGAGCTGCATATATTACTTCAATGGAGTAAATCGATATATCTTTTGAAAGGCTTTATCTATTATCACCATTGATTATCTAAAAAACGCTGCATGAATGGAAGAAGCACGAAAAAACAGTAACTTCTTTTCCACAATTGTGAAGCCGTACATAGCTTTTTTAACACTCATTAAAATTAAACTATAAAAATCATATAAAATTCCGACCTAATTAAATATTCTTTCTCATCAGACTCCCAAGCGCCTTCTTATTTCATATGTTCCAGTCTCTCCCACTCACTTTAGGAGGCAAATCTGCAGCTTTCACTAGATCTCATATCGGCGCAATTAGAGAACATTTTTGTTCGTCTGTATTGGCGAAGTGACATCAAAAGCGTCTTATGTGAATGTTTCAAGCCTGATTTGTAGAAAGATGTCAGTTTGATAGCCAGTGAACGAAAGAGGGAAGTTTGTTAGCCGTCTCTACGACCCTTCTCAGAAATATGATTTAGTTTTGTAAAATTCTTCTGCAAGTGACAAGAAATCTTTTGGATGTTTCAGGAAAGTATTAATAAATATCGTGAATAAAAACGCTTAGAATTTTACAAAGTTTGAAAAAAGTTTGTTTGAAATATTGTACATGTATTCCATATCCATGTTTTAATGAAAACATATTAATTCAGAATTTATTTGAATGTCGCCTAAAGCGCCTCCCAACATTTTCGTTATGTTATAAAAGATGTCGGTGATGAAATATGCTTTAAAACGTAACAAGTAAATAGATTCGATATATAATACAGTATGAGTGGTTGTCGCTTGTTGCGCTTGCCAAGTAGGTAAATGCAGTTGCACTCATCATTCCATCATTCCATCACACCAAAGACCTCTCTGCATGTATGTGCATCACTCACCATACCACCAAAGACCTCTCTGCATGTATGTGCATCACTCACCATACCACCAAAGACCTCTCTGTATGTATGTGCATCACTCACCATACCACCAAAGACCTCTCTGCATGTATGTGCATCACTCACCATACCACCAAAGACCTCTCTGCATGTATGTGCATCACTCACCATACCACCAAAGACCTCTCTGCATGTATGTGCATCACTCACCATACCACCAAAGACCTCTCTGTATGTATGTGCATCACTCACCATACCACCAAAGACCTCTCTGTATGTATGTGCATCACTCACCATACCACCAAAGACCTCTCTGTATCTGCATCACTTACCATACCACCAAAGACCTCTCTGTATCTGCATCACTCACCATACCACCAAAGACCTCTCTGTATCTGCATCACTCACCGTACAGCTGAAGCGTGTTATCCGTGTCGCCGAGCGAGTTCTTGGAGCCACAGACGTAGATGCCGAAGTCTTGCTTGTTGAGCTGGTGGATGGTAAGCAGCATGTTGGTTGTGTAGCCCTTGGTGATCTCGCGCGTGATTTGCCTGCTGGAATTGATGAGGAGGTTGTCGCCGAAGCGCCAGTAGTGAACCGCCTTAGGGAACGCCGTCACCCTGCACTCCAGAGTGATGCTCGTGCCCAGGGGCGCCCCCACCAGCTGGTTGGGGACGGTGATCAGCGGCTCAACTGCAGGACGGGAATGTCCATGTTTTATAATAGAAATCATTTCTAAGCTATGTTGTTATATTGAAAAGCTATGCTAGGTTATGTTGCTATATTGAAAAGCTATGCAAGCTATGTCGCTATATTTAATAGCTATGCTAAGCTTTGTTGTTATATTTTTTAAAATTGAATAGTGGATTAGAAGTCGTCAGATTCAGTGCCCAAAGAAAGCCTAGTAAAATTCATTTTCACGAACTTTACAGCATTAGAACAATACATCAGCATAATTATCTGCCTTTCATTCAAACTTTCGCGCTGATGGACTTGAGAATCGTTAAAGTTCGTTGGTCTTGCTGGCGTTCAAGTAATAAAGTTCAGACATCGTAGTTGCGTTTACATCATATTCAACATAGAAAACTAATGATCAAATCATGCACAGAAACGCTCACAGGATTGGGGAAATATAAATAACGTATCCGTTGAATAATGAGCTGGATCATAATGAACGTTAAGGCCAGGTACTATTGCGCTGAACAATTCTGTTCAAGTGCAATAAGATCTTTGGGAGTACTTTTTCTATGATCGTGTGGAAATCAACATGAAAATATTTAAAACAAACATATTTTTAGTTATCAGATATTCAAGTTTTTAATTAACACCGTACATAATAATGGTTCAATAAAAATTGTACGCCAATATTTATTCATCCCGAGCAGATATTAAAATGCTGGTTGTTAAGCCCGTAGATTGCACGCACAATCTCCGCTCATCTACTACTCGTAGAAAGAAAACGATTTAATGGTAGTCTAACTGAAGAATTTCGACGGTAAATCTGTATTGAATTGCAATATTTTTCATCTCTCGGGGTGAAGGAAACTATTTTTTTAGGTGCACAAAGAAACACTTGGAATGTAATTACAACACTTTTCTGTTCTCCAAAGGTGAAATTGTATTGCATTTTGCCAATGTGAAAAAAAAACAATCGAATAACAACGGATGTAGGTGCACTAACACCAATACTGAAATTTTAAAAAATTGAGGGGATGATTAGTGAACTAATGAATATTTATTTATAGTAAGGATAAAAACCGAATTAAAGGGATTTCGCTGGAAGTGCATTTGCCTTCACGGCAAATCCTTTAAAGCAATACGCAAATCCTTCACGGCAAATCCTTTTCACAGCAATAATCCTTTAAACTTAGAAAAACCAAATGAATTATTTCGTGAATTAGCAAATTAGAGAAAATGACTGAAAAAATGAGCTCTGATAATAATATAAATATCATGCGATGTAATATTTTTTAAACATTCACTCAACAACACCAATGGTCGTCGCAGATTATGCAAGGAAGAAGCTATGCAAAAAAAATTTAAACTGGTGAAAATGATGAATCATTGACGCCTGACTGCAGTAGAATCAAGAGAATATCGTAAGATGATTCATAAAAAAATGATTAATCTATTTAGTATGTGTCCCAAAAAGCATCGAACTTTGTAACATCCCAAATTGCAAATTAAACGCTGTTTCAACGAAATCAACACTCGACAAACGTGGTATCAACGAAATCAACATTGAGTAAACTTAACTTCGACAAAGTCAACTCTCAATCTACGTTTGTTTAACGTCATAGAAATGTATCACTAAGTGTTCACAATGGACGTCGAGTACGATGCGGCGGCTGATGGAGGGCGGGACCTTGTTGCTGGCGATGCACAGATACGCGCCCATGTCGTTCCGAGAAGCCTTAGCGATCACCAGCGTCGCCTCTCCAACTCCTGGCGATTCCTCTGCAGGAATTAAGAATACACCCACAGTTATAATGACATTGCTAGTCGAATATGATACAGAAATCTGCACACAATTCGATTTCAGGAACGCTGGAACTGAAAGCAACACCCACCAGCAGAGTATCCGATGCAAGTGACGAGACCAGATCTCGGATTACAAAAAAAACCGTAACATTGACCGTAATAGCCAAATCATATTTAGGATGGGTGACAAAGCTGTCACCTACTTAATTGTGAGTTCGGTTACCTAAAAAACGCTGGATTATACCTGTAGGTGTTTCCCCACCCACAACCTCCAAGGCGTCGCAGCGTTAGAATGCAGCACCCACCTGCCGAGTCGTGTCTGGAGCGGGTGATAGGCTTGCGGTCCTCCCTGGACCAGGCGACGCTGGGCTCAGGCTCGCCTTTGGCGGCGCACGCCAGCGTCACCTCGGCGCCCTCCTTCACCGACACGTGCGAGGGCGAGCTGCGTGCATCCACGAACTGCGGGGGCACTGCGTGCCAGACGTACTTTCGTAAGAATAACTCTAACAACAGCGGCGGCACTGCGTGCCAGACGTACTTTCGTAAGAATAACTCTAACAACAGCGGCGACGTACTTTCGTAAGAAAAACTCTAACAACAGCGGCGGCACTGCTTGCCAGACGTACTTTCGTAAGAATAACTTCAACAACAGCGGCGGTACAGCATGCCAGACGTACTTTCGTAGGAATAACTCTAACAACAGCGGCGGCACTGCATGCCAGACGTACGGTCGTAATAATGACTTGAAACAACTGCGGGGGCACTGCATGCCAGACGTACGGTCGTAATAATGACTTGAAACAACTGCGGGGGCACTGCGTGCCAGACGTACGGTGGTATATATGACTCAAGACCACTGCGTGCCTGACTTACGGTAGTAGGTATGACTCAAATCAACTGCGGAGAAAATCATAGCACAAAATGAAATGAAATTGAATAACAAATCACAAGATGGTGAAATGCGAACAGCGAGTGTAAATTATTTTGAGGAATATCCCTTGATGGCTCGAGAATAGTGGAAGATTAAATTTCATATACGAAATAATTTACATACTATTGCTCGCAATAGCCTAATAAAACAATATTCAGTCAGGAACGTCGAAATAGAGTGGCTATTAAGAATGATTCACATGAGATCCTGGAAAGCAAAGTGCAGAGATAAAAGAGCAGTAGTTTTAATTGAAAGTTATTCAATGTCAAATGTATATTTAATGCGTAATAAAATTTTTTTACAATAGTTACAGAATAAGACTGTGTATTGAGAATATGTTAGAACTACGATGTATATTGCATGAACCCACTTAACATCTGGCTAAGCCCACTTGGTAGACCATGACCTCACCTGCCACCTGCAAAAACCACCTTGGTTGGTCAACTGCTCATTTACCACCTGCAGGAAGCCCATTTGCTTGACCATCTACTCACCTACCACCTGCAGAAAGCCCACTTGGTTGATCATCTACTCACCTACCACCTGCAGGAAGCCCACTTGCTTGAATATCTACTCACCTACCACCTGCAGGAAGCCCACTTGCTTGATCATCTACTAACCTACCACCTGCAGGAAGCCCACTTCCAACTAGTAGATGACACCTACCACCTGCAGGAAGCCCACTTGGTTGATCATCTACTCACCTACCACCTGCAGGAAGCCCACTTGGTTGATCATGGGCTCCATGTTGACCTGACAGACATAGTATCCCGTGTCGTCTGGTTGTACGGAGCGGATGTGCAGAGTCCAGGTACGTTCGTCCGTCCGCCGGACGAAAAATCGCGGAATGAGCGTCACGGTGCTGTTGTCGATCGTCAGCAGGATCTGTCGGTCAATATGTGTCCAGGCTACCTGTAGATGCAAGCGTGGAAACGTATCAGTTATCGATTCAAATTTCATAGGCAGATGAATTTTGAACTTTTTGATCGAATGAAGCCATTCGTCCACTTCTGAAAATTATTCGTCAGTGACAACCATATCCCAAGTCGCATCTTCTTCGCCCTCAATAAATAATATCAAAACACATTGTAAGTGCTGGACGGCGTGTAAAAATTTCGCCAGGCAATTATTATTTGCATTTTAAGATTCATTTTTATCTGAATTTTATTTGTCGTTGAAGCTTGAGACTTAGCAGATGTAAAAAGCTGATTTGGACGTAGAGAGATTTTTGCGTTATGTTACGCCAGATCGGATGCATTATGTTACGCCAGATCGGAGGTATGTATATGCGCAATCCTAGTTAAAACGTGCAATAGTAGAGAAAGGATGGTGGCCCAGCATTTAATTTCAATAGTATGTACAACTACTTTTACAGTTTTCATAAGTCACAATTTTCGATGCAACTGCCAAATTCTTCACTTCCTTTGACAACACCCCAACACCAGCCACACCGCTCATCCTGACCTCCCCGCACCCCAACCCCTAACGCCACCACACAGCTCATCCTGATCCCCTCCACCCCAACCCCTAACGCCACCACACCGCTCATCCTGATCCCCCCACACCCCAGCCCCTAACACCACCACACCGCTCATCCTGGTGCCCCCCCCACACCCCAACCCCATCACTCCCCACACCGGTGGGAGCTGCAAGGCTCAGCGCAGTGAGGCGCATGTGGTGCTAATGGAGGCTGGATTAAAGCAAACCCTTCATGCAGGTTCACTGCTCGCGCATCGTATCTCAAAATATTGTCTTCTCGGCATTCACAGGATATACCATGCCAGTACCACATCATTAGACGCTAATTAATTCTAAGCAATAAATACAACAGCTGGACGAGCCAAATCGTGATCTTAAGTACAGTTGAGCGCTCGGCATAGCTACAATTTCCGAGTTTCCCGAGAGTTGGTTGCTGTGCAGTGAGAAAAAAGTTAACTTCTGACTTTACGATTAAACGATTAGATGTTTGCTGTTCATTTCAGATTGTTTTAGCTTTGGAATGTCACATTCGCTCATGCAGTTGCAACTATAGGTAGAATAAATAAAAATGTTTGATTAGAACCGAATAGCATCACATAACAACATGCATCGAAGAAGTCAAATCTTCATGTAACTTTAGAATTTGAGTTTTGGAATGAACAGTAAGAAGGAACTTCATCGAATTAGAAATTATGCATGAACTCATGATTTAATATGCCGCGCGTATGTAAAATAAATGGTTGAATAATTTCAATGTCCCTCATTTAAGCCATAATAAGTCTTGCTGAGAATGACTCTTCTCCCGGGAACACTTAGTTTACAATTTGTCTTATCATCTTGCGTTCATAACGTGATAGAGGTGCGTCAAAGTAGGCGAATAATTTGGAGGAAATACAGTGCATAATCATGGGCATTCATTTTCTTGGAATTAAAGTAATTAACGGGAACTACAGGGATTGAAGGCACCTAAAAACGCTACGGATAATTAAACGTGCACTTATGGAATCTTAAAATTTACAGCAAACAAATCACTTAAGAATATTGTTTTATGCTATGAACAAATACTATGAATTCCAGGATAAATAATTCAGCAGGTAGCATTTATATATGTTGAACGAATGCACATTATCATATTCTGTCAGAGACTCAAACATGCAAAAATTTACATTTTTTATGGCTACAAGTTTTTTACAAGTTATTTATGGCTACTTATTGACGTGTGAGATATTTAAAAATATTTCGCTTTAAAAAACTTCTGGTGGGAATTTTGTAATCAGGAGTCAGTTAATTCGATTGACACTAGAAGCGTATTAACTGAACTTAATTCGAAAATAATACAGATGAAATGCGTTCTCCGAAATGAGTAAATACTTTTTTTTAAACATATCTAAAGTGTGACAATTTTACTTCTTCTTACTAAACTCACACTTTTTGCTTCATAACAGAAGTTTATTTCACTAACATCATAATATCAGGAGCAAGTTTTCTATTGCTCTAGCGCCTACATTTTCCATAGATAAAATGTCCGAGAGATTTTGTACTGCACGCTGCGTAGCTTTCACGCTTTTCTAATGAAGCTAAGCAGAGTTAGAGAGCTGAAGCTTAATGGAGGCTGTAATGAAGCTGCAGCGTTGCCATTACGTCTGCTTTGACGGGTCGCAACTGCTGCTAAATACGAGCTGATGCAAACGCTGCAGACGTACGGGGGGCGGGGGTTTAACAAAACGAAGTTTCAAAACCGGAACATGAGTCGAACGCGGACGGTCGACGAGCATTTAGCCACGTGAGGCCGTACTATCAAAACTCACCTAAGTAAAAGTAGCTTATGGTCTATGTACAGGTAGCAGCCTAAGTAAAAGTAGTGGTCTATGTACACTAGCAGCCTAAATAAAAGTAGTGGTCTATGTACACGTAACAGCCTAAGTAAAAGTAGCTGGTGGTCTATGTGCACGTAGCAGTCTAAGTAAAAATAGTGGTCTATGTACGCGTAGCAGACTAGGTAAAAGTAGCTAGTGGTATATATGTACACGTAGCAGCCTAAGTAAAAGTATTGGTCTATGTACACGTAACAGCCTAAGTAAAAGTAGCTGGTGGTCTATGTGCACGTAGCAGTCTAAGTAAAAATAGTGGTCTATGTACGCGTAGCAGACTAGGTAAAAGTAGCTAGTGGTATATATGTACACGTAGCAGCCTAAGTAAAAGAAGTGGTCTATGTACGCGTGGCAGCCTAAGTATGCGTAGCGGCCTCGGCAAACGTAGCAGTCTAAGTACACGTAGCGGCCTATGCACACGTAGCGGCCTAAGTACACGTAGCAGTCTAAGTATACCTAGCGGCCTAAATACACGTAGCGGCCTAAATATACGTAGCGGCCTGAGTACACATAGCGGCCTAAGTACGCGTAGAAGTTTACGTACACGTAGCGGCTTAAGTACACGTAGCAGTCTAAGTATACGTAGCGGCCTAAGCCCACAGCGGCCTAAGTACGCGTAGAAGTTTAAGTACACGTAGCGACCTAAAAACACGTAGCGGACTAAGTACACGTAGCAGTTGAAGTACGTACGTAGTGGCCTAAGTACACGTGGCAGTCTAAGTATACGTAGCGGTCTAAGCACACGTAACGGCCTAAATATGCGTAGCGGCCTGAGTACACGTAACGGCCTAAATACACAGCTTCCGATTTCCCGATAAGATATTTGATAGTTTGGTCTCAGATGTAGTCACCGAACAAAAACATGAGTGGACGACAATAAAGTATTTGTTGTAAAGATGTTAACTGAAGCTGGAATTAAAGTGACACACAAACATCACACAACTCACATTATTCACACAACTCATCGAAACTTTTCAGTGATCACATATCCATTTCATCACAGACAGCACACTTTATTATACACCACTCAACAACACACGTCGCATTAACACACATCTCATTCCAAACGCCTTTCGAAACACTATGCATCATCACACAATATGTAGGTACTGCTCAATACATCCAGCACCTTCACAGAGCACAACATATTACAAATATTCCACATCATTACACACTACCTACACATTTTAAATCACACGTTAAACACCACTCATCAACATCTACACATTTTAAATCAAAAGATTAATCAGCTCTCCCCACCAAACACCACCCATAGACATGTAAAGTATCACATCTTATGCAATACTCATCACCATAGTTGACCTCACATCATACAAATAATACGCATCACCAAAATATCCTGCAAAACGCCACGCAAATCATCACAAATCACCGCACATCACCTCATGTCGTACAATACGCCAAGCAAATATTCACAAATCATAACTTCATATCACACAACCACGCAAATCATCACAAATCACCACACATCACCTCATATCACACAATATGCCACGCAAATCATCACAAATCACCACACATCACCTCATATCACACAATATGCCACGCAAATCATCACAAATCACCACACATCACCTCATATCACACAATATGCCACGCAAATCATCACAAATCACCACACATCACCTCATATCACACAATATGCCACGCAAATCATCACAAATCACCACACATCACCTCATATCACACAATATGCCACGCAAATCATCACAAATCACCACACATCACCTCATGTCACACAATATGCCACGCAAATCATCACAAATCACCACACATCACCTCATGTCACACAATATGCCACGCAAATCATCACAAATCACCACACATCACCTCATGTCGTACAATACGCCACGCAAATCATCACAAATCACCACACATCACCTCATGTCGTACAATACGCCACGCAAATCATCACAAATCACCACACATCACACATCTCCCTCCAAGCCTCCCAGGACGCAGGCCCTCGCCCCTGCTGTGTCTTGCGATGAATGCGCAATGGCGTCGCTTTGCGGCACGCAAATTTCTCGTGCAAATACTGGTAATGTATGACAACCGCGTGGTTCATAGTTTCATGCATCGATAGAAAGTTCATTTGGTACTGTAAACTCAGACTTTCAGACGTCCATTTCAAGAATTATATTCTATTGGTTATTCTCCAAACGGGGTTTTAGTTTTTCGATTGAGATACATGACGAATCTGAAGTGTCCTTTGGTCAATTCGATATATATTAACTACATATTTTCATTGTAAATTAATCCATTCTGTCAATTCATTGTAAATTAATCCAATTAATCCACTCTGTTGTGAAGAGACACTAGCTTAATAAGACACCTATAGTCCAATGAAAAGTTCTCTTAGGCTCGCTGGGCCTACCGAGAAATAAATCCACTCTGTTGTGAAGAGACTCTTGCTTAGTAAGACACCTATAGTCCAATGAAAAGTTCTCTTAGGCTCGCTGGGCCTACCGAGAAATAATGCGAAGAGGCAGGAATGCCGCTGGCGTTACCAGGCCGTCATCTGAGGCACTGGAGGGCCGCTTCGTGGCACGCAAGAGGCTCTTGAACGAGAGCTTCTTCGTCGACTTCTGCTTATATCGATCCCGGTAAAACTTGAAGCACTTCAACACTTGACGCAAATATTTTACATCGTGAAAGAAAAATCGAATTAGTTAGAGCTTGAGTAGATTGAAAGTAATGTTATTTTGGATACTACTATATAATGATAGACAATTTTATCTTGTTCCAAATGGCAATATTTTCAACTAACGAGAAGTAAAGAGCGGATTCAATTTTGAATTCTGTAAAAATGCTGCTGGAAAAACTGAGTAACTGATTTTTTTCAGAATAGAGGAAATTCACATTGCGCTATTTCGAAAATATATAGAAGACAGTATTTAGAAAATAAAAATAAATTCATTTATAATTTAACTTTCGTTTATCCGACAGTCAATTGATTTAAACTTGATAAACTCGATTGAAACACCGAAATTGAACAAATTTATACGGACAAATATAACACAAATGAGTGAAAATTGTCTGCCAAAATTTTAAAAAAAGATTTAACAGTTATTAGGTTGAATACAATGCAATACACTCTGGCAATTTCATTAGTAGTGCAATATGCTTCAATGTATTTTAAATATGATCGAGTTTTAAATACTGATCTCATATTATCTCGGGCACTTTACCCTGAAATAATATCGCTCAAAAAATTCCTATGCTTCAGGGAACTTTCATTTAGAACGCAATAATGATAATGAAATAGCGGCTCAAAAGAACTGAGGCTCTTTGACGGGCGAGCCTTGAGACTCTTGAGGTGTTGGCTGGAGCCGATCACAAGGAGCCAATTAGCCATCGGCCCATTACGGTTTGTTTGATATCACTGTTGTCCCAATTATTAGCCAGCCTCCCAGCTGCCTCACATCAATTACGCGCCACGTCAACACTCCCATAAATTTGCCATAACCACTCCAAGACTAACGTACCTAACAGGCTCCGATGCATCGACATGTGGCGGCTATAAACCATTGGAAAATATTTCATTTTGCTGGTAAGCGTCATCCATAAGCCATATTAAATGTGTATTCCTCAGCTATGAGCCATCAAAGAGCCATATTAAAATATTTCTCTTTGCTAGTACGCGGCATCAATAAGCCATATTAAAATATTTCCCTTTACTTGTATGCAGTGTCAATAAGCCATATTAATATATTTCCTTTCGCTTGTAAATGCAATGTCAATACACAACGACAAAATATTCTCCTTTACATGTATGAGATATCAATAAGCATATCAAAACATTTTCCAATGCCAAATCATCGACATATATTAGTCATCAAAATTCATTAAGTAAAATAGAGATTATAGCCTCGGAGAAAAGTCGTTGTTTTCTCACAAGGCAATTAGCATTATTATGAAAATTCTTGCATAAGTTTCCTTTGCACGAGCGAGGGATTTTATTTTTAAAACCGACCATGAAGTATATTTAGTTTTTCGTGAAAATTTGAATAATACAAAAGTTTTCACTCATAAGTAATACATTTATAATCATTAATAAAAATTCAATGAAGATTTTAAAAAATGAATCATTAATTATAACTCAAAGTTTATAGCGTTTATTTAATTCAAACTGAGAAGTTAGAAAAAAATCACCTTGTAGTTGCCGATGTTGTCGACGACGCACGGAAGCTCAACATCTCTGCCAGCCGTCACGTTGATGTTAGGGATCGTCTCGAGGAACTTGGGATGTTGCACCGACGTTCTCGAGCCTGTATCATAAGTTATTAGTTTATTTGGCTGCTTCAAGGATAATTTTCCTATTTTCTGGAGATTTTAATATAACATAGAGATTCATGATTTAAATTATCTTTCATACTGAATTATTTTCTTTCAGTACAAAAATTTGTTGATGCGGCTAAATTATTTTATTTCTATTACACCTACACTCGCTTCCACATGTATTTATTAAATGTAAATTATTAAATGTTAAATACAACATTACATAAATAATTACGCATTACTGAAGCTATGCAAGCATTTTTTCGAAAAAAAATATCTACGCAGTACGCCAAGTTCAGAAAAGTTAGTCTCTAGACTGTATTCAATTTATGAGGCTCATGAAGCATGTGGTGAGCTACACCATTAAAATTTCTTTTTTTTTTTTGCGGATCAAGATACTTGTATTGAATTGTATTTGCCTAGGGAAAGTTGAATAGCATTGAAATAACAACTCGTCGAAATTCATTCCCGAAACTCAAATTTTATAGTATGCTAATTTATTTTTTAAAAGCTCTTCGATAAGATTTGAAGCAAGGAATCAAAGTTATTTCTGTCACTCGAGACTATTCCCTGTACTTCTCTAGCCCGTAAAGAAAAAGAACCTTAAACCTTCGCTCTGTTAACTTGAGGCAGCCTTTTATTTTGAAACCAGAAATGCAGTTAGGACCGCCGGAGCTACGAAACAAATTTAGTTGCAAGTTTAGTACTTTTAGTGGCGTTACTTAAAACAAGCGCTTGCCTGAATGCCCAATGTCTTCTAAGAGGTAGTGCGCGCTGACACCAGGGAATAATGTTCCATTTATTTGAAATTTCTTCCTTTTGGTTCCAGTTGATTCTTATTGATGAATGTTGAGTGCTGGACCAGTATCATATCAAAACATTATTTAAACTAATTCTTATAGTAGCATTGTGCTTAACATTAAAATGTACGACTGTAGTGAATAAATCAAGTCATCATAAAATGATTCTTTTGTGAATTAGGTTCCTATTACAAGACGAACACTTGTTTTCCATTTTGCGATAATCGTTTTCATATTTCAAGTTCATGTGTAAGTACTTCTCAAAAAACAAAGACAAATATTGTTTCATCAAAACTCCAGCTCGGTCGTTCGAATGTCGGTCTTCCGAAGCAAGAAGAAATGAAGACGCCAAAGTGGCATAAGTGTCAATTTCGTCCAATGAAGGAACGCGCCTAGCGTCTCTTCAGGCGTCTGCTGTCACAAAAACTGACACGAGTTCACGTCACTCTACGACGAGCCAAAACGTCTCGTTGCGTGTAGAAAAAGAGGTCATTAAGTGGAGGTGTGACAGCCTGCAGAAACTCATTATCCGTCGCAGGAAGGGAACTGAATTATATTGTATCGTACATTGCTCTCTCATCCTTCTTACGAGATATTCTTACGCGGGACTAGCTCCCGCCGCGAGCGGCTTAGGCGACTTTGAGAGGCTATAGTAGATTGACTGTGTACGACATCCTTTTAGGCTTTGCTCATCGCGTCCGTGGGGGTCATAATTTGTGAGGAAAATACAGCAAACTTCTGATATTTCTCTCTGAAAGTTAGTAATCCATCTTCTACCGTGCAAAATTGTTTTCATGCATTGCTATACGGAGCGCGTCACGCAGTATTTTCGACAAACATTTCTTTTCTGTGCCAATAATGTACGACATGTGAAGAAATACATTCAGATTGAGTGAAAATTTCAAGTAGTTGAATGTTTTCCAGATGCATAATTTCTATGTGTATGCCACGTTTTGACAATGGACCTTTCATTTCATTAAAAAATATGCTTCTTTTCCAAAGATTCAAATAAAAGCTCATTTGCATTTCTTCGTGCAATATAACGTGATATCTTTTTCATTGTTCCAAATAATCAACTTAAAATGCGGATTAAATAATTCAAAATCAGTATTTATTCAAAAACTTTTATTTTATTCCAAAATTTGTCTAAAATTAAGGCCGACGCATTTCTTCACTATATGAAGCAAAGCGTACGATGTAATTCAGCGAGTTACGCAACGACTTTTCCAGGACGCAAGCGCGACCAGCAGCGGCAGATCCCGGCGTCGTGTTTGTCAGATAACAACGAGCGAGTTTGTTTAGAGTGCGCGCAAGCACCTGAAAGAAATGCTTGTTTTGTCGGGTGTAGCTGCAGCAAATTATGACGGATATTACATCACTGAGCTGGCAGCCAGAAAACTTCTTGGTAAGTTACCCGTCTGCCGCGGACGTTCCAAGCCTCGCTCGAATAAGTTGGAGATACGCATGAGCGGCGCGAACATTTTTACAGTAGCTGTTACATTGAGCAATGAAGTTAATATCATCTGCTTAATCATTAAATTTTGAACTGATTAATAAAGAACCCCGTAAGATTATCTTTAGGAACTTGATGAAACATGGAATCAATGTCGTAGGAATTTGTTATATCCTGACATTGGCTTTTAAATCTGACACGAACAGATTACAAAGTCGCTTGATGCTCGTGAATTTTTACAAAACTGAAGCTTTATCCTTACAAACCTAGAAGGGTGCCATCAAATGAACACTTGAGTCTACAAAACAGATGCCAATTTATCCCTAATGTTTTCGACTGCATGCATTTTCGTCCTTGAGCACAAGATTATGTGACAGCTGTGAATGCATCTGCACATAAATTAAGAGACGGCTGTGCATCTGCACATAAATTATGTGACAGCTGTGCATATGAGCATAAATTTACTGAACCGATAACATTTCAGTGCAGCGCAGATGTACAAGTTTTATAACACAGCTGTACAAATTTTATACAGATGTTCAAAACATCCCTCTGTCGCCCATACCTAGTCTACAGTAGAGTGAGGCAAAAACTACACGTCCCGAACACCGACGAAACTGGCCAGCTAAGCACGACCGAAACTTCTTGTGTCACGTTGTGGTGTTCAAAACTCGTTGATGTCCAACTAAAAAGCAGTCACAAAAGTACAGAAGATTTTTAACAGGAGCCTTGGTTTTCAAAGGTAATACGAACTTTCTTGACCAGTGTGATTGCGTGACTTTATTAACTAAATTTACTTTTAATGGCTGCGTTAGGAACAAAAAAAGGACGAAAAATTCAATAAATATATAATTGCATTTTACACTGTCGATCTGCCACTGTCGTAAATTGGATAAGACGAATTTCAGTTTTTGTAACATTTGTAACTTAATTTATTCGAACGCATGGCTTTATGCTCGCTAACGATTGTAAAAAAATATAACTCAGTACTCACTGCAGTGAGTGACAGAGAGCGCATTTTCTTGCCGACGAAAACGTTAAGTTACGGACGGACGGACGGACAGACAGACGAACATGACGAGCGCAATAGAGCCTTTTTTGCTTAAATGAGAAAATGCGCTATAAATAACAATTTTTGTTTGTCCTAAAAATGAAACGATTTCAAAATTAAGTGATTGAAAATATAAATATTTAACCAATAAAGTTGTAACGCATATGTAGGATTTATTGAGAAGCGGTTAAGTGCCGACGGGGATCCTATTTTATTTATAACAGTTTGCCATCTGGAAATTTGATTAAATAATTAGTCTCAATTTCTAATAAATGACACAACGTTGAGCCATGGCACGCGCTAGTAACATTTACCACCACCGGCACCACCGCTAGCGAGTAATTAATATTTACATGGTGTCCGGTCCATTAATCGTATCCGTGATACCAAACTGCCATGTTCGCGCCAGCAGGAATCATGCCATTATTGTCTCATATTAAATTCGTCCTTTGGAAAGTTTGCGCGTCATTTGTCCCTGTTTTACCAGGACTTTTAATTTTTCAAGTCAATTATTGTACAACAGTTTCTATATTAACAGGTTGAGACAGCAATTTAAAAAGGCTCATATATTCTTCGAACGGGTGACACAGATGTCAGTAGGCTAATTTGATCCGATTAATTTTTTGCGTGTGGGCGGAATATCGCTTTGCTGCTGTTGACAAAGGCTTAATTGATTGTCCCAATTCAGGTGAGAAATTCGCACTTAAGTGCAATTTAGTAATATACGTTGCCGCCGAATAATAATTAATTTTATTTTCATATCTTAATACATCTCTGAAGGTTACAGTAGCGCTCACCAGATCGAAATCATAACCAACGCACTCGAGGCGCGAATTGTGGCCGTGAGAGCTGAGTTGTAATCAGTGAGTGTTGTTGTTAGGTCATCCTGTAGACGATATGGACCAGCCAAGTGTGTTCTAAAGCTTCCTGCAAAGGACATGTTTATTTCATTGTCCTGTGGTTTCCATTCAACAAAGAGTCTCCTTCAATACAGTTTACGAGCCCTTGAACGGAAGGTAAAAGCTATCCCATCCGTCCTAGTGTCTCTTGAGTGACCTCACTGCGCATCCACTGAGCTGCAAAAAAATTTGGTGACCCCAGGTCAAATATTGCGCTTGTTCAGCGCATATTTTGGGTTGATGAATGCGTGAATTGTGAGAACCCTTCGAAGTCCAGATTTAATCAAACATGAAATCTCGGTTACAAAATTGCGAAGCGCAATTGAGAATTGAAACGCAACATATACGCCATGTCTTGACTACCTGGACAAAAAGTCCGCATATATACCTTATCAACTCCTCATCTCTTTAGAACTAATAACGCTATTTTCCCCAACCCTTTTCTAAAGTCCAGTAATATCATATCTAACGTTGGTATCATGGTTGGTTTTGCCACGGTGAGGGAAGCTAAATACACCATTCATAATTTCCTTGCTCGGACCTAAAAGGTCTATAGATGGCGAGTTCTTTTCAATTGTTCAGCGTTGTTTTGAAGACTCGCTTTCCACTTCTGCCGATGACACAATCTCGCAGCCATCAATTGCAGGAGCGTTCCAATTATGTTATCGCCAAGCACTCTTATTATGGCTATAAGAGCGATGATTCTTTAACACGCTGATGTAGGTTGCTCCTTTCTTTATGTCAGCGTTCGGCTAAACTTTTTATAATTTACGTTCATAAATTACAA